AAATGGACCTTTGTCTGTCAAGTCACAGAATTAATTTTGAACATGTAACTGCATGCATCGGATGGAACATAAATGCCGCTTTAGAGATACTGATTTTCTGTAAATTATTGTTACTATGCATTGATCATGACAATAAGAAGAAAATTAGTATAAAATCTTACCTGAGTTTTTGCAACAGAACATTCTATTGAAAGTTAATTCCTTTTTAAATAAACTTGAAAGTCCTTCATACATGAGTAGAACCTTTATCTTGTTCAGACAATATTAACTTACTTTTTTATTATTATTATTTTGTAGGCTTTACGCAGTTGGTGGTCGAGACGGGAGTTCTTGTCTTAAGTCAGTAGAATGTTTTGATCCTCATACAAACAAATGGACCCTCTGTGCTCAGATGTCAAAAAGAAGAGGCGGTGTAGGTGTAACCACCTGGAATGGGTTCTTGTATGCAATAGGTGGTCATGATGCCCCAGCATCAAACTTAACATCTAGGCTGTCAGACTGCGTAGAAAGGTAATATCCTGATGAAGATGTATTCTGCTAGTAACTCTAATAGTGCTCATCTATAAAGTATTTATGGGAAGAGCTGTAAGTAGAAACAACATAAAATAGCTGTGTTATTTTTAGCCTAAGCAGAGGAAACTTACACATAAAAACATACTGTGTAGCCATAATATGATTCAAATGGCAAGTAATTGGCTTTAGTACCACGATCAATTTCAACAGCTTGTGCTTTCACATGTAGTAGTTATCAGAGCAAGTACTTGCTCTACAACGGTATAGCAGCAGAGCTGTTTCTGGAGTGATACACTTAGACATACAAGAAGAAATATAGTAAAAACAGTTGTACATATATATATATATTATTATATGGAAAGCAGCACGAAGTAGATACCTGGCTAGTACTGATTGTGTTACCAGCTGACTAAAGAAACATTTTCAAAGAGAGTATTTGGGGAAAAAGTCTTTTGAAATTAACACCCAGATCTGTGCTGTCCTAATACCTGCTTTCTACTACCTTGAGAGCATCAATTCCAGTGTGCTTTTTCTAATGAATTTTGCCAACAGTTTTAGAGCATAACACAAACTATCTTTTAGGTATGATCCAAAAACAGATGCATGGACTGCTGTGGCCTCTATGAGCATTAGCAGAGATGCAGTGGGAGTATGTCTCCTTGGTGACAAGTTGTATGCTGTTGGAGGATATGATGGTCAAACATACCTTAATACAGTGGAGTCTTACGATCCCCAGACAAATGAATGGACACAGGTATAGCTTCTGATCAGACTGTACACTACTGTTTATCTTGTTTTTTCAAGCGTGCCTCTTTTTACAAGGAGAATTCAAACACTCCTAAGAAGCATTTTCTTAACTAGTCTGGTTTAAGTCTTTTTTTATTTTATTTTGTCTACCATCCCAAAGTTGTTTATCTTGAAGAGACATTTGCCAGCTTCTAATAAACTGTTCTTCTTTATTTGGCAAGAGTATAGCTATTTTCTTTGACAATCTCAGCTACTGTTAATAAAATGTATTGACATATTCCCCAAACTGTCTTAAACAGTTCTGTTTGCATGATTTCCTATTCTGAAGATAAATTATGAGCGTAGATTAGTTTTAGCTCTAATGTGTCTCTCAGCAAGTTTATCGATTTCTTCAAGCTTTTGGTCATCTTTTCATAAATAGTCCCTTCCAGATGTGAATGCCATGCACAATGTGGGCAACTTTCAGGAAGCCTTTTCCCATTTCTCTTCACTCAGCTCAAAAAAAAAAAAAAAAATCTTCAATTCATGACCAGAAACCATTACAGTCAATTCAAATCTTGGTTACTTTTTTATAGTTCAAGGAACATGCAGCTCTGTGGGAAGAGTGCACACATGGACATCCTGGGCAAGCTGTCCTTTGTCATCTACTGCCATTTGAGATATGCTAAAGCATCTACATCCAAAGAAGCTGTCAGACAGGACACAGAATCTGTGGGAGACCAAGGCCCCTTTGCAGTTCAGTTGCAGGCCAGGCTGAATGTCCAAGCTCATCTAGATTAGCATTAGACACCAGTGTATAGGCAGCTGAATTCTATCCTGAATATGCTATTGCAATAGCCCCAAACTGCAAATTCAAAAAATGAGCTGAACTGTTTTATAGCATCATCTTTGTAACACAGAAAACAAAGTTGTCTGTTTCCCCTCACTTCATACTGCAGCAAGATCTTAAAACATAACTCATCTAGGAGGCTCATCTGAGCTTGGGACCTTCAGTAGCAGTACTCAAGAAAACCTGTGGCATTATTTGTCCTGCTAAAGGGAAAAAAAGTGTACTAGATGAGAGAAACAGTGCTTCTCACCATTGCATCTAAATGAATCTCACATGGTGTCTGGGTGGTGACTGTTTGTATGTACCTTTGTAGCCTTAGCCTTGACCCTCCCTATCTCACTGAATCCTGTGATCCCAGTATATAAGACAGTTTTGAACCCTTCCTAGAGGGATTTGGAAGTGCCTGTGTACCTTCTCTCTTATTATGTCAGCAGTCTGCCACCGCTTCATCCACACACAACTCAGAAGAGTGAAATTTTCTCAGCTGAAGTTTGTCAGAGCCACAGACGGCTCATCATAAATCTGTTGTTCCTGGAGGGGGGAAAAGAAATAGAGGAGTTGGCATAAACACCCTTTTTGCCTTCAGGGTAGTATCCGTAGCACTTTGTGCTATTCACACACACACACGCAGGGTACTATGGAGTTTTAAAGGAAAAGCTAATGTGACTTGCTGCACTTTCCAAGTCCAACAGAATCACAGCAGAAAAAGGTCTTATCAGAAGTAACTTCTGTTTACAAAAGAAGAGAGACTGAGAAAAATTATTCTGATTTCAAGAACTTATAACAGGATTTTATCAAATACTCAAGTACAAACGCGAGGTTGCCCCTGTCATGTTTGGTGTTTTCTGATTGAGAGAAAAATGCAGTTTTGCCAACCGTTGCTCAGTTGTCAGACTGTAACTCAGGTGTCCAGTTTGTACCATAACAAAGGATTCTTTTTCCTGTAATACCAAGTAACCGAAATTATCAAAAAGAATTGTTTGATATTTTTGGGATTTGCTATTGCTTTTAAAGTGCTGCACTATATCACATGAAATATCTTCACCTTTTCTGTGGGTTTCTATCCAAGTTTTGGACCAATTTGCTATGATTCTTTTAAGTTACATTAACAGAGTGTGGGTGATACTGTCACTGCTGCAGCTACACAACTGTTACTGTGTTAACTGTTACTGTGATTCTGTGAAAATACTGTCAGGTGTAGTGAATAAAAAAGCTTACTACATTTATCTCATGGATTATTTGGTTTTTTTGCTTGCAGGTTGCACCATTGTGCTTAGGAAGAGCTGGAGCATGTGTTGTGACCGTAAAACTGTAAATTTTCTCTATGAAGGTGACGTTCTCGTCAAGCAAACCACCAGTGCACCAATAAACAAACACAAGGTGCAGGATATCTACCACAGCAAAATGCTTGATCTCAAGCTAACATGTACATGTTGTTCTTACGGACCAATATTAAGCACTTTTTAAAAAAATCGTTTTTGTTACCCGTATGTTACAAGGATTCTATTTGTAAGAAAATCAGCTGCAACCAGACAGTTGCCAGCAGAAGACTTCTGTTTAGGAAGTGCTGAGAAATGAGTGAACTCAGTAGTGACCTCACTATAGTAATCAAATGTTACAGATCCAGGGCCTGGATCCCCCAAACATGCAAAGGAATGATGCTAGAAATGGATACACTTCCACTGATATAATTGAGTCTGTCTCTGGGTGGAACAAGTTACAGGATTGGACCTTGTATATTTTGGTTATATTTGGCTGTAGGGATGTGAGCAATTACAATGCAGGCTGACAAACCAATGCAAACCATTATAAATACAGGCATAATGCCTGCCTTGGAGATGAAGTTATGTATTTGGTGAATCTTTTGCACTTTTGTAATCATTCCTAGTTTAGCAAACTTTTTATTTAACCAAAGCCTTATTTTAAATATTGTTTTATTATGCTAACAGAAATCTGCTATTTAATACTTTCTGCCAGATTTTTGCCATGCAGTGTATTTTTTGATTTTTCAGAGGTTTTACGTGAGATGCAGAACATCGTACCTTCTTCTTTACTTTGATTCTTATATTTACTTTGCCATTTTTAAGGAAAAATCTATAACCATGAGTTATTGGAAGAATTCTGAAGTGTGATTAGAAGTTAACCAATTTAATATTTGCACTTTGGTATCTTTGAAGCATTCCATTACATACAGACTAATTACATTTTTACATGAGGCTTTGCACTAATTTGAGAAGTATAATTTTGTAAGATGAAAGAATTGTCTATCTTTCCAGTAAGGTTACTTTAAAATGTAAAGGGCCCAATCCTGCAAGGTGCTTACCTCCCACCATTGAAGCATGTTCCGCATCTTACAGGAGAGCTATACGTGCCTCGCAGGATTGTGTCAGATCAGTTACCTTATTTAACAGTAATCTATTTTTAATTTTTCAGGTATTTTAGTTTGCCTTTGTTGAGCCCTAATTTGTTACACAGGATTGCTTTGAACAGTCTGAATGTTCTCAGAAAGTCTTTTCGTATTTGCTTTTCTGTGCCTTGTTCCTTTCGTTTCCGAAGCAGTAGGTTAATATGTGTGACAAGGGGAGGATGTGAGCTCGTTGAATGTTTTTCAGAAGTTTGAAGTGTCCAATACCCAAAGTCTTTGTACATTTATAATTTTAAATGTGTTAATGCTCTCGGTGAACTATTTATTGTTTTAAAAGAAATTACTAAGCCGTGAACCTTTGTGATGAACCCTGCACTGTTTGCAGCTGAATACAGCTGAACTTAGCGGCGGCCTGCCCGCCTTTGCGCCTGCGGCACAGGGCCCGAGCCCCGCTCCGCGCGGCGGCGGAGAGTGCCCATTGGCTGCGGGCCGTCTCCGGGTGACTGTGACGCCTAAGGGCGGGGGGGCGGGGTCTGGCTCGGAGACTGGCGCATGCGCAGGAGGCGCTGAGCGGCGACCGGTGGGCGCGATGAAGGTGAGCCTCTTGGGCCACTAGTAAGCGAGGGGTAGGGTCGCTGCAGGGGAGCCTCGGCCCGGGGGTAAGAGGGGAGCCGAGAGCGGCGAGGTGAAGGCGGGCGGGGCCATGGTTTTAGCTCCGCACTGGGCGATCTGGGTCGGGGCGTCGAGCGCGACCCGCCGCGGGCGGGTGATGCTTGCTGACTGCATAGGGAGGAGCGCGGCGGGAGCCTGCCCGCTCGTGCCGGCCTCTGTGCAGCGGGACACTAACGCGGCGGACCGGGCTTCCTCAGGGCTGGCAAAGGCCACTCCTACCGCCCGTCCGGCCCCTGGATCCCGGGAACAGGCCGCGGGAGAGGCAGCCTCCGGCCCGGCTGCCCCTTCACTGCCACGGGTGTCCGAAGCCGTTACCGTCGGGTCTCCTGCTGCGCCTTAATGGTGGCCCTGGCGAGGAACCCTCCTTGGGCAGCAGTTAAACAGGACGAGGCAAGCAGGAGAGTTTCTTACTCACACCCCTCGGGGGAGTTAGTTTATACGATCCTGTCCCCTAAGCATGAAGAGCTGCAGCTTGCCTGCACTGCTATCATGATTTTCTTTATTGTTGGCTTATTACAGATTTTATTAAATTTTTTTCAAAATCAAACATAATCGTCAGATGTTCTTTGTGCTTGTGACGTGTGGTGCTCATAGCTTTACACTTCTTGTGAGTAAAATGCAAATTTAGTGCGAAGAATGCCTCAGTTTATGTGCACCCAAAAGGATGGGAACATTTGGCAGAGACTCAGGTAAGCCTGCCGCGTGTTTGGTGGACACCAGGTGTTGGGGTTTATCTGGTGACATGAGAGGGAAAAAGTCATGATAGCAAGCCGTGAAGTGAAACAAAGTTGTGGGCTCTATCTTACACCCAAGTTATAGATAAATCTGTGCAGGCAGCATGAAAGAAAGTTGAGAAACTTTATTGGTTGAAAGTCAGAATCTTTATGATTGAATGGATTTGAGATCTTAGCTTGTCAGACACAAGAATTCAGTGTAACAGAATAGTTATGTATCTTTTAAGGAGTCGGTGTTGAGCTTGCAGTGGTTTGCACACTGAGGATGCTTTCTGGTCCCAGGCTTTTCCATGAAATTTAGAGAGCTTAACATTCTGGTCTTTGGACAGGAAGGGAGAGTCTGATGTTTCTGGAGGTTTTTTTATGACTGTAGGAGAAAAAAAAAAATACTAGTTGTGGTAGAGTCTCAGTAGTTCTCAATGCAGACTAGACCCAGCACTAGAAATCTTGGGTTTCCAGCACAAACCAAAAGATTTTTACTTGGAATTTTGCTACTTTGGTGCATTACAGCCGCCTGGAAGTTGCGTTGTGTTTGGGTTTTTGTTGTGGGTTTGTTTTTTTTTTTTCCTGTCACAGTACTCAGAGTTGCTAACATGCTAGGAACTACTGTTATAGGCTTACATTTGTAAGATGTGTAATTTCCCTCTTCTTTTTGTCTCCCAGCAAGTATTCAGCCTATCAGAAAAAGCTTGGTCTGGTTCCCCTGTGCAGTTTGCTTGGCAGAAAACTTTGGGAACTTTCCTTGCTTTAACAGGGTAAGATTACAAATATTTATTGCATTTCTCCATAGAAATCACTGATGAAGAAAGGGAATTATTCTCTATGTTTACCTTTTTCTAGAGGTGATAATGCTGTGAAAATTTTTGATCGTCATGGTCAGAAGAGAAATGAAATCAGCTTACCAGGGTAGGTGCTGAGATGGGTTTAAATTATTTTCTTTATTGTTTTCTTTAACAATGCTTCTCTTCTGGTGAGATGTTTGTACAATGTAAGAACTTTTTGGAAGAGCTATTATCTGTGGTGAACATCCCTGGAAAAGAAGACAAATTGATGAGCATGTATGGAGTCAAAGGCAGGAAAAGCTGAATTTATAGTAAGCTATCAAGGATAGTCAGAAAAACATATTCTTATACCCAAAGCACTCCTTATTAGTAATAAACTCAGTCTGCTTCATTAAAATGTGAGAAAAAGATCCGTCATACTAAGAAAGAACATAATGAGGTTGTAAACAATATCTCCATGTCATGCTGATAGCAACTGCATTCTTGCTGCTGTTGGTTTTCTAGTTATTTGTTATGACAGCCTCGCTGAGGAAAGATATCTTCTTGGTTTAGTGCTTTTGCTTATGTCACTGGCATAATGTATACTGTATATTGGCAATTTTGCTCCAGATCCAGACTGTACTTCTGAAGTGAATCTCAGCGGTTCTTCCTGTTTATCATACTTTGGTTCACAACAGAGAGTGGTGTTGGGAGTGTATGAACTAGATTTCTTTCAGGTGAAATTTAAAAGTCATGTTCTTTGAAAGATGCAGCCTAGCTGCTAACAATCAGTCCATAGGAGCAGGCTAGGTATGGCCCAGAGGAAACCTCCTTGAGTGCTAACACTGTGACATCCGGTCATCATACCATTTTGCTATATAAATCTACTTTTATTGGCACCATTACTACCTGATGTAGCAATAGTTTCATTTGTATACTCATTTCTTTCTAGTGTTTTACCTGCTCTTAGATTAAATCTTTGTGCAAATTCTTGATTTTTTTTTTATTTTTATTTTATTTCAAACAATCTGATACCTTTTGGTTAAGGTGGAGCCCTTACTCATGTCAAAACTCTCACTAAGGCTTTAAATCTGAAGTCTCTAATCTAGAAGTCTGACTTTTGTTTCCAGAATGTCACTTACATATTTCCGTATCATTGGTAGATACAAGCCAGAATTGCGTAGCTCCCCAAGACCTCTCTAGAAATCCAGTTTTTGCAGTTCATGGTAGTTGCCACCTTGCAGGAAACCAAGAGACACAGTTATTATTAATATTGCCTTTACCAGACTTGCCTGTAGCTCCTGCATCGTCTTGCTGTTCTGGTTAGGAGCTATTCATAATGTGGGCTGGCTATGTCAGTGTATTTTGCTTGGTACCACAGCCCATTTCGTTCTTCACTGTATCTTACACAAGGTATGATAAATGCTGTTTCTCTCTAGCAAACTGACAGATGTGAGCAAAGCTGTATAGAGTAAGTAGGTGAACTCCGAGAAGAGCTTGTGTTGGACTGAGGATCCTCTACTATCATGTGAGTTGGTGAGGAAGGGGAGGTCTACCTTACTGCTAGACCCTTACAGCACTACCTTATTGATGGACAGGATGACCCTTGCCTTCAGGGAAACATATAACATCTAAACCAGTTTTACAATAATGTTGCATTCTCATGGCAAGGAAGAGAACTTGTATAATAAACACATATACGAAAGCTTATTGAACTAATTAACATCTTCTTATGGTAATTTGAATAACACTGACTTTTTGAGGCCCACCAGCAAATCTTCTGCCTAGATTAGGTCATTCTTTTGTATTCTTATTTCCAGCCTCTCTCATTCTCTAATTATTACTATTAGAATAAAATTCAATTTTTGCAATATACAGTTTAAAGAAATAAATGTGCTTATATGGTTTTTCCCCTCAGGCCAAACTTTGCTTCTTTATTTGTTGGTTAACTGTTAACCAACTGTAGTTTTTAACTGCTGGGTCTCTCCTTATGTAAGAATGGAGTTCAGAATGTCAAATATTCTCTGCTATACTAGTTGATATTATAAGCATCTTCTTACTGTCATGTTGATAGAATTTGTTTTCTTTACTGTTTAGCAATCTGTGGTTTTCCCTGTTCTTTTATTCTTTTTTTCTTTTTTTTTTTTTTTATTGTATTTTTGTCCTTGTTATTCCTGCTCTTGATGATCTGATTGCCTGTGCAGTATTCATTTTGGAAATATACCATACTTAGTCTCTAGAGTAAACCGCTGAGATTTTGAAAAGATAGGAGAAACTGGAACTGAAGGCGTACTGGATTAGTTTACAGCAATGTATGTTTCAGTAGGACACTTCTGAAGTTGCTTTCATTAGGGGTTTTCATTTGAGTGGTAATGAGAGTGACATTTTTCACAGAGATAACTTTTTAACCTATTAACTTGCTTATCTAGAGAGGAGTGGTGTCAGATGGCATAGGTTCTTATACTGCTGTGTATGGTGCTTTAAATATTTGTTGTAAACAGCACTGTTTCCAATTCACTAGAGACTTGTGGGTAAGTCTGCCCTCCTCTTTATTCTGGCAACTATTTGCAAGTAGAGGTTTTTCCTGTTTCTGCATGAGTTTCTTGTCCAAGTTCATTGTGCTTTTTGAACTGTGACAGAAATAATCCCAGCAACTGAATAGCCTCTAACAAAATAGAACCTTACAAGAGATTTTCACTGTTTCTTGAAAACCAAGGTGGCAGTATTTCAAGTACTAGACTGTGGGCAGCAGTGTCTTTTCTGTGGCCTTCCTTTTGGCCCCTGTCATTTCAATGGCATTTGAGTAAGGATGTGGTTGCTATAAAAGTACACTTTGCAGATAAATCTGCAATCTGTCATGGGTTTGCTTGGGAGGCAAATGGAAGGACAGGCACTTCAGCTGAATAATTCATAGCTATTTCTATGAATTTACAAACATATTTTAACATCATTAGTGAAAGTTATTTGTTTTTTCTTCAGTAACTGTGTTGCTATGGACTGGGACAAAGATGGAGATACTTTAGCAATAATCGCAGACAAATCTAGTGCCATATTTCTGTGGGATGCAAACACAAACAAAACAAGCCAAGTAGACAGTGGAATGAGGTAAGATTTTATTTTTAAGGTATGTATTTGAAGATTTGGATCACTGAGGCTTGTTGGAGGATGTATTGCAGAAATCATCTTCTTATTGGAGTCCTCATAACACATATATTGTTAAACTAATATGCTACAGTTCATTGCTGAATTCTTTCTCATATGATTTGCTGGTTTTGCAGTGTTTGTGGTGGATAGGGGTTTGGGTCTGGTAGAGGTTTTGTTTCTTTTTTAATCATCAGCAGTGCTGAAGTCCTGAGGGAGCTTCTCTTCACTGTTTCCACTGTTCTTTCAATGTGGTAGCAACAAGGATGGGTATATTTTTTGTGTATTTGCACTGGTTACATTTTCTCCAAAGTATTCACACAAGTAAAATGGAGCTTTAAAGTAAGGGAAGTGATTTTAGCAGTGCTAGGATTTTTTTGCCCTTGGATTTATGAGGTGGCTAAAATGATATTCAAAAAATAGACTGGTTTAGGATGGGAGGAAATACCTGAGGTGGTCTTACTGTAAGGTTCAAATCCCTACCTTTCTGAATTTGGCCCCAGTCTTAAAACTGTTCCAAAATTTACATAACAATCAAGCACTGGGTTAACAAATAAGCTGGGTTTAACAATTAATTAAACTTTTCATTTCTTTGAATCTATTCCACTAAACTATTGCATTCCACATTAACATTCTGCCTGTAGGAAATTAATGTCTTGTGTTTGTTAGGACACTCACCTGACTAGGGAAACAGCTAATTTTGAATGCTGCTTCTATTTTATTTACATGAGTTGAAACAAGCATTCCTTCTGATTTAACCCTTCATTTCGAAATTTCCTTTGCGTGTATTTTGCGTGTTTTGTTTTCCCAAGTAGGGGTTTGGGGGTATTTTTTTAATAAATCAGTTTTAAACTACAGCTATTAATATAATGAAAACAATTTATGAAGATGCATATATCAATTTTATTGTGTGAAGGAACACATCTCTTCATGTGTGAACAAATATTTCGTGGGGAAGAGTAACTTGCCAATATGCAAGCAAAAAAGAGCATAGAAGGTACTTACCAGAATAGAGTATGCAGCTACTGCAGTTCCTTCATGATCTTTCTGTAAATTGCTTATTGGAGGCAATCCTGCTAATACAGGATTATATATAAAATGTAATCCTCCTGAAACAGGAGTATATATCAACTGAAGTGTCTAATCCTTTTGTCACAGTGTTATTGCTGAAGCAGAGTAAGCATAACCACTAAGATACATAAATGGTGTGATAATCAGGTGTCCTCTTCTTTTTAAAATTAGAAAAGCACAAACAAAACCCCTCACCCACAAACCTAATATATACTGGAGGTCATTTCATGTGTCAGTTAATATCTGAAATTTGTTTCAAATTGCTATTGCATGCTTACAGTAAGTTTAAAAAGATGGGAGAGTCATCAGTGGAAATAACTGCACTAATTAGAAAATTCTGAATAAAATTGTTTTCCTCAAGAGGCTTTTTTTAAAAACCTGATGTATAGTATCCTTAAGTATACCCTTAAGTATACTGCAGATAGGCCTTGCTGTATCAGAAACTCAAAGTTCTGAAAGTTAAAATGCCTCTTTCTGACTTTATTACATTGACTAGAACTAGACCTGTTCGCTTGGAGTTGGCTGAATCCATAGGATTATTGAAGTACAAAAAAAATACTGCTGAAAGTGGAAAATTTCACATACCTTCATGGTATCTCTGAGTGGTTTATAAGAACTGCATATGTGGCCAAATTACCTGAGATTCCATTCAAGACTGTTAATGTTTGCAGGCGCATTTCCATTTGTACAAGTCTTACTACATTACTTCATATAACTTGTTGCTACTTTCACTATTTTGTGTGCACTTAAATAATTCTAGTACTTGTAGAGAACATTTGTTAAATTTAAAATTTCTGCTTAGTCTGTGTGATTTCATAAACGTCAAGCCAAATATGCAGATGTTTTTATATGCAGGTACATGAAAGGACTCTTTACTATAGAAAGTAATTTTTTTCTTTCTTTTAGGGATGCAATGTCTTTCTTACTATGGTCTCGAGTTGGAACTTTACTTGCTGTTGGAACCTCAAAGGGAAACTTACTTATATATAACAGACAAACTTCTCGCAAGATTCCTGTTCTTGGTATGTGCTGGCTTGAAATCAAGCTTATGTATGTGAAAGTGGAATTTTACTAATATACTTAGATACCTTTTTAGTTCTGTGTATGAACATGCAAGTCACAAATGTATTCATATTCAACTTGCACCTTCTGTTCTGTTGTAATTACCTGAATATTTTTATAGTGTAGTAACTTAAAAATATATTGCACACGCCTGATACTGCCTCATAGGAAACCTGTGTTATCTTTCTTTGAAAGAATTTGCGTGGCTGTTCTTGTTGCCAAATTAGTTTTCCTTACCTGCTTAGAGTACCTCTGGACAGAAAGATTAAGGATATAGTACAGTCCCCAAAATTTACTGCAAGGAAATGGAAGAACAAGGGCTGTGCAAGTTCGTATAAGGTCAAAAGACTTACATCTGGGAATAGAGGATTTAAAAAAAAAAAACAAAAACAACCAAAAAACCAAAAACAACCCTCTCAAATTTGGAATTGCTCCTATAAGTTGTTTTGCATTCAGACAATCTGTGTTTGGGTGGCCAAATAGAGGGTATTTCCATCCCAGCTTTTCTTTATGGTTGTGTTCATTTGTGTTGCATAGGTTTCTTTCTTTTCCAGGTAAGCATACTAAGCGGATTACTTGTGGTTGCTGGAGTACTGAAAACCTTCTGGCTTTAGGCGGTGAAGACAAAATAATTACTATAAGCAATCAGGAAGGGGATACTATAAGACAGGTAATATTTATAAAACCCATTTGATTTCAAGGCATACATTAATACTCACGGTTACTGAGAAAGCTGGGACCAATGGGAGCTTATGCCTTTTCAATACTCCTACTTTCAAGGACAAGAAGCCTTTGGGAAGCCTCATGCAGGATGAAGGCATATCTAAACATCTGAGCCTCTGTATTATGCAGCTTGATTTATGATATTAGCATCTCTGCAATTCCGCTGTGGTCTTACCTAACCACACTTCTCTCATCCCCGATGTTGTTCTGTTTTACAAGAGGATCCTATGAATGCAGTCTTAAGTTGACTACCGCAGTAGCAGCGCTGGACAGCTCTCACATGACTGTTAGCATAGAATCAGCTAGGTTGTATAAAACCTTCAAGATCATCAAGTCTAACCATTCCCCAGCACTGCCAAGGCTGCAACTAAATCATGCCACTTACGGCCTCGTCTGTAAAGTTTGTGAACGCTTCCAGGGCTGGTGACTCCACCTGCCCTGAGCAGCCTGTTCCAGTGCTTGACCACCCTTTGCAGAAGAAACCGGTCTTAATCTCCAGTCTAAACCTCCCCTGGCACAGCTTGAGGCTGTTTCCTCTTGTCCTAACACTTACTACCTGGGAGAAGAGACCAGCCGTCTCCTGGCTTCATCCTCCTTTCAGGCAGTTGTAGAGAGCGATGAAGTCCCCCCTGAGCCTTCTCCAGATTAAAATCTGCCAGGTCCCTCATCTGTTCCTCATAAGACTTGCGCTTCAGGCCCTTCACCAGCTCCATTGCCCTTCTCTGGACCCACTCCAGCACCTCAGTGTCTTTCTTGCAGTGAGGGCCCCAGAACTCATGATAGCGTGTCATTATGATCCAAATGGAAGTTGTGTTTTCTCCAACTTTTTTCTTAGTTTTGATACTAAATGCAGTAACAACTCTATCCTTAACACTAGAATGAACAGAATGCAGAAATAATGCAGGTATTTGTCATGAATATTTGCTACTTTAACTGTTGATTTCTCAACCTGAACTTCTTTCTTGCAGACCTCAGTGAGCTCAGATCCCAGTGATATGCAGTTCTCAGTTATGAAGACTGATGAAAGAGTATCAACCAGGGAAAGCACAGTAAGAAGTCAATACAAAATACTGCTAAAAGTGTTCATCTGATGTTTCAGGGTTTCTGCTGACAACCAGTATGGGCCAGTAAGCAGTTTGTGCCTCCTTTATTTAAAATCTGGTGTTGGAAGATTTTTTTTTTTTACCCAAAAGCTTTCCTTTAAAGTAAAGCCATACACCTTTGTTCATTAAGATGTGTTCATGAAAAGTGCAGTGGTTAGCAATATGACAGGTAACAGGGCAGTTTTGTAGTCCTTGATCAGAGTAAACATTACTTAGCAGCAACTAAAAACATGGGTGTGTTATCAGCATTGTTCTCAGACTAAAGTTGAAAACACAGCACTGCACCAGCTACTGAGAAGGAGAAAAATAGTTACTACAGCTGAACCCATGACAGGTAGTTAACATAATAGATGGAGATGTGTGCAGGGACTTAAATAAATACATACAATATAAATACAGAACAGTATATGAAACGTGGCAGGTGAAAATGGAGCAGGACTGTCAAAATTGCAGAGATGCTGCCTTTCAGAGGGCTGATTTTCAGCTGCCAGTTTTGGAAACAGAACACTGCTGTCTAGTTTTTCATCTCATCATCAGTTAGACTAGAAGCCTCGATGGCAGTCTTCTAGTGTGTTTTCTTGCCTATGCCTAAATGGCTAGTTTTATTGTCTCCATCATCCTTCTTGGATGATTCAAAGTCCATCAGGTTGGTCAATGGTGAAGTACAGAAAAATGGGGTCATGATAACTGTTAGCAGAGCATGTTATTAAATGAAACAGTGAAGTACCAAGACAAAACAGAAAATCCATGGATAGAAAGGTGGTACTGTGTTAGAATTTGTCCAGATCTGTGTACTTATGCAACGTATTAAATTCTCGCAGAATCTATGGAGTATAGGTGTCAAAACCCCAATTTTTTCCCATGTTTACTTTGACAGACCTGTAGGAGTTTTTTTCCTCTTTGCATGGAGTGAAATGTTTTTTGTTTCCTAGGGAAATTTAATTAACAGGTATTTTGAAAATGCAGGCACCGAGGACTTCAGTCTTGATTTCTTCTGCCGCGTTCTGGAGTACACAGTAGTGTAGACTTCCCAGGGTTTTTTATTACAGCTCCCAAGTTTGCTCTACAATGTTAGGGAACATTCTGTGATTCTGTAGTTCTTGGTGTTTGTGCTTGGATGGTCTGTCAACAGCTCTTAAACCACATGGCATTTATTGTTGATCTAGGTACACTTTTTATATTTGAGGTAACATTGGGAATTATAGGTCAGAATTTGAGTTTGTAATTCTGGATTAATGAATTTTAGGTTAACACATGCCTTTATTCTCAGTTTAAAAATACCAGTGTTGTATTTCATTCTTCCAGCTCTTATTTTAGGAATAAACCATTGTCTGTTTTTCAGACAAGGAAAGTTGGAACAGCAGGTAATGTAAAGTAAATTTCTAAATAGTCCTTTAGAGCATCTTTGTCAAAGAATAAGGTGAAACAAGCTGCTCCTTCTTGCTCTAAAATAATTTCTAAAATAATCTTTAAAAAACCCCAAAGGTTACTCTGTCTTCCACTGTTACGTCAAACATCTCTATGGAATTCTTTAAATAAAATGCAGTCACTTAGAATTATATCAGACTGTAAATACTGCATGTTTAATACACACTGAGCAGGCTGTTTCTTTTGGAATTGTCTTTCTGTCTCTGAAATCTAAACAAATTACTTGAGATACCAGTGTTGTGATAGTCTTCTCTTCAACCTCGCAGATAAAAATTCTGTGGATCGAAAACCACATTGTAGTTCAAGTGAGAGTAGTCCAGCAGGGTAACTCCATATCAACTGCTGCCTCTTCCTCTGAAGAAATGGAGTTGACTTAATACTTCGGTAGGGGAAAGTCTTGAATTTGAGATGTGTTCTGCTGGGCTTGCATTTAGGTCTGTGAACCACTGGCTTACAAAGACACTATCCTGAAAATCTCATCCACTGTTGATAAAGATTCAGAATTAAGATCCCTCAGACTCTTAGGGATTATTAAAAGTCCTACATTTTGTCTTTTAGTGAAGATGTAGGGCTTTATTTTAAAGTGATGCCATTCTTATCAAGTTAATTTTTCTTTTCCTTCATTGGCAGGTAAGTGTAGTGGTCGGCAAGAAGACACTCTTTCTTTTTAATTTGAATGATCCTGATAACCCGATTGATCTGACATTTCAGCAGGCTTATGGCAGTATTGTATCCTACAGATGGTGAGCAGAATAACTTAATGAGGCATTCTGGTGTTAACAAGCTGAAGGCTTTCCCTGTAGTTCTGATAAATGCTGGATATCAAATCATATACACTGGATTTTTCTTGGATGTATTGTTGCCTTTTTAATAATTCTTTTCAAAACACAAGTCTACATTTTGTAATTATTTTACCTGGCAATTCAATGGCTATATAAAAGCAGTATTTTCAAATATAATTGCTGTTGGTATGCTCAGCTTTAGAACACTGATCCTATTGCTATCTTGACAGTAGCTTAGACTGAGGGGGTTATAGATTGTTTTGTAACTAACGAAAGATCTAGGGGTGGAGTTGTATCCTTCAGCCAGCTTGTTGGTTTACAAGTTGTGCAAAGTTCTATGTAATCCAATTGATAATTGTCCTTTGAAGAAATCCCAAGCTAGAAGTTCCAACTCTGTACTGAAAAATCAACTGTGCTTTTTCTGTATCTTTGAGTCCTGACACCATGTCTTTTAATGCCAGTTTGTTTATTCTTTTACACTACAACTGTGTAAGAAAACCTCTAGCTATATGCATCTTAATTTATGGCTGCATGTCTAACAAGGCATACCTGGACTGTTTCCCAGGCGGTGATTTCTTTGCAACTAAGCTGATGAAATATTGTTTGAATTCATCCTTACATGCTGTAACTATTTCTGCCTTAACCTCATTATTTCTACTTGACACTATGAAAAGTAAACAGACCATGTATTCACAAACACAGATTGTAGCTTTGGTTTGTCCACTTTTTTTGCAGTAGTATGCCTTAAGTGCACAGTGACTGGTATTACTATTTTTAGCATAGCTTTGATGGGACGAAGTCAGCCAGAACATTGAAATGAAAGTTTCTGTCTTATGGTATGCTTATTCCAGCAAAGATACTAGAGATCTTTCTCCTGGCATAACTGCCATGTATGCAGCTTGATGAAAGTGAAGTGGCATTATAGGATGTAGAAAAGTGAACTCTGGGTGGAAGCATGATTTTGTCCCTTAAGAATCTTTGGTTATTTTTTCCTTAATCTGTTTTATACTGTGGTGTTCTACGTTATATATATATAAATAATTTTATTATTTTTCCTATCTTCCTATTTTCCTTATCTCAGTAGTCTGAAAGAAAATGCATTTTGCACATTGCATAAATAGGTCTCTTTTCCTAATTGTTGGGTTTTTTTGCAACAGGTATGGTGATGGCTACATTATGATTGGTTTCTCACGAGGGTGTTTGGTAGTAATCTCTACACACATTCGTGAGATAGGTCAAGAAATCTTTCAAGCTCATAATCATAAGGATAATCTAAGCAGCATTGCTATATCACAGTCATTAAACAAAGCTGCATCGTGTGGAGACAATTGGTAAGTGGTAGATTTATACATGAAGAATGGAATTCATCTCACTTAACTGTAGCTGTTAAGCATTAAAGCTAGGCTCCCCAAGGCCTCCAAAGGCTTCAAGGCTGCTGAAGAAGTCAAGACAGAGGAGGTGAGAGGAGCTGCTCCATGGAACTACCTCTCTGCCTGAAGTTAGGAGAAGCTAATTTTTGGCCAGAATTTCTGCAATTGTAATTAACCACAACAGTAAAGGTTATTCCTTTTGATTCTTTCTTTTTCTGTTATGATACTTGGCTACAAAGTTGATTGGACATAAACATCAGCTTAGCGATAGGAGAACATTTAAAACTGTACTGAGTATGTCGATATCCTCCTCCCTGGTGTTTGGTCTTACCTGCAGTCTAGACAAACGTATAAATGTGTAAGCACTTAAGGAAAAAAAAATAGTGTGGAGTTTCCCCAAAATAGGTTGTACTTATGATGGAGTAGCTCCTTTAGCTCCTTGTCTGCTACTCCCTGCTTCTGTGATACCCGAATTCTTTAGCAAAAACAGAGCTGAATGGTAGTAGGAGTCAGACTGTTCTGTCTGTCCTCAGTTCTTGCACTTGTCTTATGACACTTGCACATCAAGAGTGGTACAACTATGAGCAAAACATGGTGCAACTTCAAGCACTTCAACTGTTGTACAATAAGTGTTATTTCTTTAAGGAGTTCTTTAGCATATTGAGTAATATGGCAGCATAAGTAAACTCTTATTCTGTCCCTTTTTATGTGAGGCAGGATTGAAAGCTAGTTTTTTAAGTCTGTGTTTCAAGCAATGTTTGTCCATCAGGATTGTGTTTCTAACCTAAGCTGTATTGTAACAGGTCAAAAGGGACTAAGTGTGTTGTGTTTCCTGCTCCCAAGCTCTCTTGAATTGGATTTGTGCCTTTTTCCTCAAATTTTGGTTCTCTGAGCAAATCTTTATGTACAGTGATAGTGATATACTATTTAGGGTGATGGAGAATAATGAGTGTCTGTTGCTTTTCAAGAAACAGAAGGCATTTTGAATTTCTCTCTGTTTAGGCTGTCTTGATTGGGTTGGGTTTCTTCCAGTTCATGATGACTGAAATTTAAATTGGTGAGAATGACTGTTTATTTTGTTGTAGCATTAAAATTCATGACCTGTCAGACCTGAGAGAAATGTATGCCATAATAAGCTTGGATGATGAAAACAAAGGTATGTCAAAAGTCTCCGTGAGGACAGAAATTATTATAAATCAGGTAAAACAGAATTTTGATGGTGACTCTGTTTACATGGATGAAAGTACTGTTGTAGGAAAAAACTGTAAATATAGCACTTACCATAAATTCTTTCTTTCTCAGCTTGTATTTATTAGGTGACACACAGATAAATGGGGATGTATTTTGTTTTGTCTGTTCAAAGTATAGAGAAGTACAGCTCTCAGAATATTCAATTTGTTAATGTTTTCATTTTTCAAATCTGTAATACAGTATATTTAGATTACTAAAATAATTCCTTAACTGGCTTCTGCTTCTTTACGGGGTTTTTTGGTGGTTAGGGTTTTTTTTGTGCTTTTCAGTATCACTTGTACTGGCATATAGACACTTAATCTGTTCTCATCCTGATACACATGATTTGTACCTGTGGCTTCCAGAACTTTCTTACAAGATTCTGTTCTTGGGTAATAAGATACCACTATTATCTCTTCCTGTAGTATCCATAAATGCTTCAGTTATTGCCAACTCTTCACTTCTAGGAAGATTCTAAATTAGTATGTTATGGGTTTAGTTTGAGTGATTCCAGTTGGTCTTGGAGTTCTGTTAATTGGTTATGTTTGAGTACATTAGTACTCATTCATATTCCTAGATACGAATTCCTACCGTTTTCACATTTTAAAGCAAAATAATTGTTTCTTGGTTTTAGTAGTAGAAGATTTATTTTTATTTTCATTTTTTTTCCTCCCAAAACCTTGTGAATGTTTTAGGTGTAGACAAGCTGGCTTGGACAGATGATGGACAGTTGTTGGCAGTATCTTCACGAATAGGATCCCTCCATGTTTTCTTGACAAAACTTCCAATCCTTGGAGATGCTTGCAATACACGGATTGCATACCTCACTTCCCTTCTTGAAGTTACTATAGCAAATCACGTGGAGAGAGTATGATAACTTTTTCCTTTTAAACTTCATTTAGATACAAGTAAAGTAAGTATTAGTAGTGGATGAAAATGGTTTTGTTTTGTTTTCTTACAGGAGCTACCAGTCACAGTCTCTGTTGAAGTAGAGCCAAGTTTTGTGGCTATTGGTGTTTATCATTTGGCTGTAGGAATGAACAATCGGGCTTGGTTTTATGCACTTGGAGAGAATAGTAAGCATAAATTCAGTTCTTTAAAAATTACTGCATCATTGTGTTTTATGAATTCAGTGTTGTGTTTAGGAGTTCTGAACATTACACATTGTACAGTAACAACTTGAATTGCCATATGGTCTTGTTAGGACCAGATAATGATCTTCACAGGCTGAAGCAGTTATGACAACACATTGTAAATAATAGAAATAAAACTTTAGGTTCAAGGTAGTGGTAATAAAATGTAGAATGTTTCTTGTTTCTTTTTTCAGGTCATGTTAACCAATGCAAGACTTTTAGGCTTTTGAGACATTATTGGACAGTGTCTTTAAATATGAAGTTTGGCAAAGTACCTGGGGACTATATGATCAGAGGGTTTAAGCTTGTAAATTGGTAGATGTTCATGTTGCTTGCATGGGGCAAAGTAGAATGGCTATGCTATGTCCAAATTTTAGACAGTGGATTTAAAGTTTTCTTGCCTCTTTATGCATCAACTTTTTTGACTAATATTCCATTAATCAAAACTGTAAAAATACTAGTCAGAGTTGCATAGGAAGAGAGTTTTTTGTACTTTCTAACCAGTTTTCTGACTGCTAAGAAGAAAGTCTGTTTACATGTGACACATCCCCTCTCTGCTTAGCTGTGAGTTTTTTCACACCAGGCTACTGGGCTGCGGATTTAGACAAGCGAAGACTTATACAAAATAAAATATTTTTATCTTTTTATTTTCTGTTTTAATTTTTTAGATGTAAAAAAGCTTAAAGATGTGGAGTACTTGGGGACCGTAGCAAGTATGCACCTTAATTCCGATTATGCGGCTGCTCTCTTTGAGGGTAAAGTCCAGTTGCATATGGTAAGAGCTCTGGCAATTTTGAGTGCTGAAGTAATGAGTTGATCTAAGCTGAACAAGTTAATGTTTTAATTTAAAAAATGAGATAAAATTGAACTTCTGTTAATGGAGGTAAAAAAAATAAAAATTCCTTAGAATTTTCTACTGGCTAATAAAATATAAAGGTGACTTCCTGTAGGCTTTAGAACTACAACCTAGTCTGAAACAGGTGAAGAAAAAGTGTTTCCTTATGAACTGTTTAACAAGTTTTAATTAAAAAATCTCTGGGGGAATGTGACAGAAGCAGGTGCTGGGGTTCTGAGGGATGCGCAGGTTTGTATTAATCTCCTTTCCTTACAGTTTGGTACAGGCAAAAGTATGATACTTCATTGTTAACAGTAGGGTTTTTCAAGTCATTCTGTTCTTTATAATTAGGTAGAAGGTGAAGGTTTGGATGCTCAAGAAGAACGAGAAACTCGACTCTTCCCAGCAGATGATGATAAATACCAGATTTTGTGCCATGCTTTAACTAGTGACTTCCTCATATATGGTACAGATGTGAGTATTGCTTCTGTCTGAATTATTTGGATTATTACCTATACTTTTAGGAAGAAAAAAAAGGTTCTGAGAAGTTTACAATGGATTATTTTCTATGCAAGAACTTTATGCAAATATAGTCAAATTTACATTCAAGTTCCTTTACTATTGCATTTATATAAGTTGCATTGTCATGAAGATCAACGCTTGCTTTTACTAGTGTTTGTTGCAAAGCACTGATTTTAATAGCAGAATTTAATTCTATTGCATTAGTGAAAGGGTTGCAATCAAAATGTCTTCCAGATAAAAGAAAAAACATGTCACTTTTCTTTGCAAATTTGTTTATTTAGGTGGTGATGTGATAGGTGTGGACAAAAAGATACTGGGGTAAACAAGTGTGATAGCATAAATGGAAGTCATTACTTATTATAGAAGCCTTTGCCTGAAGAGAATTTTTTTTAGGCGATTCAACAAAGATGGGAATTAGGAGGGCACTGAAGAAGGATGTGAACATGCTTATGGATTTTTCTGGAGATTTTCCTGTGCATGAGGAGTATTTTCTGGTACTGGAAATACAGGGCGCATTTAGCATTGTAGTACTGTGCTCTTTGTGACACAGCTTTTTGTGACATAGGCTGATGTATTGTCCTTAGAGGAAAGGCAGACTCACTATCTCTGGTGTTATCACTCTTTTGGTAACTTGAGTGGTTTTGCAGCAGCTGAGGGCTTTCCTACTTCCTCAGTACCTGAACTGGTACTAATAAATTGAAAGTACTAAATTCACAACTGATCAATTTGATGATGCAGATTTTGCAATTGACATCAGAAGATTCCTTTTACTTTTCTTCTTTGTGCAACAGATTGAAATAAGCATTAATCACAAATCAGTTTGATTGCTTTCCCCCCCTGAATTATGTACATTTGTTCTCATAATGTTTCTCCCTTGGAGGCAGATTTTCCAGGTTTGTGTGAAGGTTAAGCTTCTCCCAGTGGCGAGGCAGGCATTTCCTCTTTGGAGAACAGGAAATACAGCATAACATGTGAGATAAACAACAAATACAATAGAAACCTCAAACCTCCAACTCCTTACCCCCCCTCCCCCCAAAAAAAACCTCAATTTTCCTGTCCTGCCCAAAACCAGCTGTAAATGAAGAAGGAAGACAAAAAAAAAGCCCTGGAAGTATTTTTCTTTAAAGCTAACTCTTTGTGCTCAGCACTCTTAAAAATCAGAGAAACTACAGCTAAGTTAGTTATCTGCATGCCACTTACTGATATCATTATTAGCTTTTTTTCTGTTATTTCTTGTTAGACTGGAGTTATTAATTATTTCCACATCGAAGACTGGCAATATGTGAATGAATATCGGCATTCTGTCAGCGTGAGAAAAGTTTTTCCAGATCCCAATGGAACCAGATTGGCTTTCATAGATGACAAAAGTGATGGCTTTGTCTACTGCCCAGTAAGTTAGTGTGGGATACCCATACAATTATATTTACAAGCAGGCTCTTCAACTAGATGGTGTTTCAATAAACTTTTTGTCAAATCCAATGTGTATGCTGGTAGGAGAAATTGGCAAGAAGGCTTGAAGATAATGATAATGTAAAAAAGTTAAATCCATCATGTGAGATCAGGACAATTTCATTATACTAAGTTCCTGATGAGTAGTTTCAGAACTGTATGTGTGTGCATTCAAATACAGATATTTTAGCCCATTAACAAGTTCTGCCAGTTTCACTGCCTGTCCCCCTACCTTTTCTCTAAGAAAAGTAATTAACATTTACATAATGTGCATTTTCTTCATTTACTTCCCTTCTGATTTGAACTATTATGTTATTTAGAGTTGCTGCTTATAAGAAAACTTTTTCTTAATTTTTCATATTTCTGCACTATTTATATTCTTTCTTTTTAATCATAACTGAGATGAATATTTGGTTTGTCTCCTTAGCCATTTGCTAGTAATTTTATTATTGCATTGTTTGTAGGTAAATGATAGATTATATGAGATTCCAGACTTCTCACCAAATATTAAAGGAATCCTGTGGGAACACTGGCCAATGGATAAAGGTGTTTTTGTTGCTTTTGATGATGATAAAGCATACACCTACGTTTTTTATAAGGATGCCATTCAAGGTAATGTAAATGCTTTTAAAAACTTACTCACTCTTTCAGTTGATAAAGTAAAACGTGTTCTGAGTCTTCATTTGTCTTAAATATTTTTATAATGCATGTACAAATAAACAGTAGTACAGAAGCTTTGTAGTACAACTGGTAGGAAACTAGTTGCTTTGTGGGTTTCTCTTTAAAGCTCTAGCAAAGCATTTTGGTCCTAACTCCCTAAGCTTCTTGCTGTTACAGTCTTTTATCTGAAATTTGCACTTTGTGCTTCAAAATTATATTTTGGAATGTTAATGATAAGATTTTAGGAGCAGGGTGACAAAACTTGCATTCACTTACAGTTAACCAAAATCATAGAAATTTCTGTCTTTTTTGCAGAGAAACATTAAGAAATATACTGACAAATACTTGGCAAATGATGGTACTAGTTTAGAAGATTTATGTTATTTATGTATATTTACTTTACTGAAAAATATGTGCTGTGCAGTTGATGGCGAGTACCAGAATTGGACACCTTGAATTAATGCCCTGCAAGTCTACATTATTTCAGCTGTGACTGTTTGCTACACTTCTTACCACGTAGGGGTATTTTAAATGATGTCTTCTTTTCCTCCTGATCTTTGAATCTAGGATCAAAGATTATTTTGGCAGGTGGCACAGAAGTCCCCTTTTCCCACAAGCCTTTGTTGCTGTATAATGGAGAATTAACTTGTCAGACTCCGAGTGGGAAAACAAACAATATGTATCTGAGCACTCACAGGTTCCTTGGCAATTTGAAAGACTTGGGACCTAATGAGCTGACACAAATGCTTACTCAGACTTTAACGTTGAAAAGGTACATCTGTGTTTTAATTATATTGTGTAAATTGTTTTCTTCGGTGCTTATAGCTCAGTATAGCATATCCTGGTGATTTAAAAGTGTGATGATGAATATTGATAAATCAGATTGATCCATGAGTCCATGTAGCTGTCTATACAGACCAAGCTGAATAATTGGCCTAGTGGTGCTTTATTTGTTTTCCACTGTCAAGTAAAAGCTGACAGTTTTTTTCAGGACTGCTTCAGAGTTCTATGACGGTGTCTCTTCCAAAACTGGCCAAAGGTGCTTGTACATACTCCCCACTGTAATGAAGCAATGTAAAATCGTTATAATGGAAGGAATGCCAGAGTAGGGAAAGCAGATGATTTCCTGAAGAAGTGAGGTAGAAACAGGAGAAACAGAACTGTTAAGTTATGCGTTTGTATTTCTCCTTTCTTCCTGACACCTCTCTCTCTCCGTGGCTTAGAATTAAATGCTTTTCATCTGTTCCCTACCATAGTATTAGGAAAAAAAAGAGTCGAGAGGGAATTTTATGTTTGACTAATACCTAAAATTAAAATAGTTTTAATAATGTTGTTTTACCTTGTAAAGGTTTTCTGAAGCATGGGAGTTGTGCAGACTTCTGAATGACCAGTCTGGGTGGAATGAGCTGGGCAAAGCTTGCTTATATCATATGGAGGTGGATTTTGCAATACGTGTTTATCGGACATTTGGTAATGCTGGGATGGTGATGTCACTAGAACAAATAAAGGTAAAATGTAAAGTCCCCTTTAAATAGGAAATATGGTGATTTAATTCTTCTTTAAGAATTGCTGAGTTCTTATTTTCTGGTGATTTTGGTGTTTGGTTTGTTGGTTTTTAAAGTAGAAGGTGAATTATTTTCAAGGGAGTTAATAGTTACTGAGGAGAAAATGTCCAAACAATGTAACTCTTGTTTTTTTCTTTAAGTGGTTGCAGTCTCTACTGGAATGCACAACATGCCTTTCTGCATTTGCTTGAAAATATTCATGTCTTGGGCATTTGGAAGCTCTGTTCTCCTTTGTCATTTTTAAGAAAATGTTTAAGGCCACTATTATTAATTAAAAAAAAAAAGTGATATATCTAAAAGTGTATGAAATACTACCCTAAGAATATAGTTCCACAAACTGCAGTTTGGACAGTGTTAGCTGTAGTGACTTTGAGTTCCAGTAAGAAAGTGAGGGCTTTTCCTTGGTTTGTAGAATCCATTCAACACACATGGTTGTAGAATACAAAACTGTTTTGTTTTGATGTGCTTACTAAATTATTTTACTTACAACAATATTTTTTTTTTCTCTTGGACTACTTTTGCACCTATTACATCATTTTACAGGGAATAGAAGAGCACAACCTTTTAGCAGGACATCTTGCCATGTTTACTGGCGATTTTAATCTGGCTCAGGATTGGTATCTGGCATCCTCCTGTCCTGTTGCTGCACTTGAGGTATTCATTTAAGATGTGTAAATGTTTTGCAGATGCTTTCATCTCCACCTTAATGTTGGACTGTTTCACCTTCTGATAATTCTGCCCTTTTGTGGTTTTGTTCTTGCCGTTTTGTGACTGTCAGATACTCTTTTAGGATGAATTCAAATTACCTGAATCTTTCTAGAACACTAGCTCTACATTTGTATTTAGAATAACATAAGGTTCAGAATTTAATACTTGCATCAGAAAATTTTACTGTTCTTTGTTAATAGATGCGAAAAGACTTGCAACACTGGGACAGTGCACTTCAGCTGGCTAAGCGTTTGGCTCCAGACCAGATCCCTTTCCTATCAAAGGAATATGCAATGCAGCTTGAATTCACGTAAGTTCTCCTGTAAAGTTGCAGTGTAAGAAGATTAAACCAATACTCATGCTCACTAGAAGAATATAAATTGAGATACAATTGAGGTGCAAGGTCCTGCACCTGGGTCAGAGCAATCCCAGGCACAGCTACAGGTTGGGCAGAGAAGAGATTCGGAGTAGCCCTGTGGAGGACTTGGGGGCGTTGGTCAATGAGAAACTTAACATGAGCCAACTTCAGTGTGTGCTCGCAGGCCAGAAAGCCAACTGTATCCTGGGCTGCATCAAAAGGAGCATGACCAGCAGGTCAAAGGAGGCGATCCTGCCCCTCTACTCTGCTCTCGTGAGACCTCACTTGGAGTATTGTGCGCAGTTCTGGTGTCCTCAACATAAAAAGGACATGGAACTGTTGGAACAAGTCCAGAGGAGGGCCCTGAGGATGATCAGGGGACTGGAGCACCTCCCGTATGAAGACAGGCTGAGGAAGTTGGGGCTGTTCAGCCTGGAGAAGAGAAGGCTGCATGGAGACCTCATAGCAGCCTTCCAGTATCTGAAGTGGGCCTATAAGGATGCTGGGGATGGACTCTTCATTAGGGGCTGTAGTGATAGGACAAGGGGTAACGGGTTAAAACTTAAACAGGGGAAGTTTAGATTGGATATTAGGAAGGAGTTCTTTACTGTAAGTGTGGTGAGGCACTAGAATGGGTTGCCCAAGGAAATTGTGAATGCTCCATCCCTGTGTTGAAGGCCAGGTTGGACAGAGCCTTGGGTGAGATGGTTTAGTGTGAGGTATCCCTGACAATCTTAAGGGTCTTTCCAACCCTAATTATTCTGTGATTCTGTGAGATTCTGTGAATCTGTGATTGTGAGATACATCAGCTAACTACATTGCTGAGAGAGGATTCTGTGAGGTCTTGCAGCTATAGTATAAAGAAGAGTAGTTTTATAAGGAATACCTCATGCTAGAGACATATGTTAGCAAATAATAGTTACTTTTGATTAATTTCACTATACTTGGCTTCTTTGCAGCTGGAAGATGCACTATATAATATGATCATCTACTGACTAAATACTTTCTTGCAAGCAAGTTGGTGGAAAATAAAATTCACACCATTTAACACTTCTTACATTGGACAAAAGCCTTGCCTTTTGCCTTTCTTTCATTAAATACCCATTAGCCTTCATTTTCTTACATATTATAGGTAGGTGAGTGTCAGATTTCAAGGCTGTCAGTCCCTGAAAGAGAGAAGGTTTTAACCAGTTGCCATGATTTTAGAAAGATTTTCTAGATAATTCTTCCCAGATGAAATCTGGTTTAAATGTCTAAACCAAGAGGAAAAACTCATCTATTAATAGAGTTGTTAGACAACTCTGTCTCCCTGGCACTGAGAGAGGACAGTTGTTGGTCACAGAAAGGAGGAAGGAACAGAGGCATCTGAAGCAATGCAACCATCTGTAACTTGAGTTCTGAATGTATTTGAGGAAAAAAACTGCCTTCATTTTTATGTTGTAAAAATTCAAGAATAATTCTAGAAGGTTAGTTTCATTTATCTCACAGAAAAATAAGGAAGTAGGGATGAGATTACTGAGGTGTATTGTGCAGATAGGTTATTTTCCTGTCTTTCAAGGGAGATTTATTGGTCTCACTATAATGAAATTGAGAGACAGACTACATCTTTGGCTAATAGCTTGATAAAGTGCTAAGAAAGTGCCATGAGTAACTGTCCATCTTTTGCATACTTCACATACTTGTACGGTCATTATGTCTAAAGCAGGACAGATACATGTATAATCTGTATGGTAGGAAGGTAACCATCTCTTTCTAGTAAAACTATTCTCTGTGTAACTTCCAGTTTTCTTTTAGGGGTGATTATAGTAATGCTCTGTTGCACTATGAGAAGGGAATCACAGGAAATAATAAGGTAATTCCATTTTACTAATGATAGCATTTGTATTATCATACTACACATTGTCATGTTTCAGACTCACTTGAATTCAGGTGGGTTTTTTTATTCCACTCTAAGTCTGTATGAGTGTTTCATTTGGGATAGTAGTCTTCACACTTCTCTTATTTTTAATACACAGAATGATGCTTTCTCTAGGTGTAAAGCATTATTGACATTATATTAACATGGCATAACTAGATTTAGGTTTTATAATTTGAGCAGTTTCATAATAGACATGCAAATGTCAGAAAATACTGCTTGGGTTTTCATTGTTATAACAAAGGTCCTAATAATTCTTTCTGTTATTCTTTATTGAATTGTTATCTATATAAAGACAAGCAAGGATTGTGTTAGAAGATTAACATTGTACTCAGTAGATCCTTCCTTATTCTGGCATTGTTTCCCCTAACATAATAATATGGATAGGGCTTTGTGCAACCTGGTCTAGTGGAAGGTGTCCCTGCCCATGGCAGAGGGGCAGGAACTAGATGAGCTTTAAGGTCCCTTCCAACCCATACCATTCTATGATTCTATGATAATATTGTCTATTAAGCAACTTAAATCATAATTAGGGAACATAATCAGAGAAATAGCAACATTTCTGAAATCAAGCCATTTGGCCTTAAGAAGCATCAGTGGCCTTACCACTTACAAAAAAATATTAAAGGAAATATCCTGCTTGTAGTTTCTTTTTTCTCTCCTGTTGGTTTTAGAGGAAAAATGAGAGTAGTACTGAGCTGTCTGTAAAGCGTATGTATGTGTTGTGGTTTAAACCCAGTCAGGTAATTCGTTCGCTCACTTCCCCCCCTTTCTTGCCCTCCCCCTGCTCTCGGAGGGACGGAGAGAAGAATCGAAAAGAATGCAACTCCCACGGGTTGAGATAAGAACAGTTTAGTAACTAAGGTATAACACAAATCACTACTGCTACCACCAGTGATAATAATGATAAAGGAAATAACAAGGGAAGAGAATACAACACCTCACCACCAGCCGACCGATAACTCGCCCCCCAAGCCCGACCAAGCTCTGACCGATACCTCCTCCAACCCTGCAGTCTCCCAGCCCTTCCGGCTCACTCCCAGTTACATCCTGGGCATGACATGCTGTGGTATGGAATACCTCTTTGGTCAGTTTGGGTCAGGTGTCCTGTCTCTGCTTCCTCCTGGCTCCCCCTCCTCCCTGGCAGAGCATGAGGCTCACAAAGTCCTTGGCCAAACCAAAATATCCTTGTTATCAGCTCTGTTCCCGAGCTGAAAGTCAAAACACTGCCCTGCACCAGCTACCAAGAAGGAGAAACATGACTGCTACTGCTGAACCCAGGACAGTATGCTTGGTCTGGACAGATCTTGTAAGTAAAATGTAAAAATTAAAGCTTAAGAAAAGAACTAAGCTGAGTTCTAAGTGACAGCTGTAGCTAGGCAAGAATTTTGAGACAAAAATTGACTTTGTGAAGTCTGTGTAATGTTTTGTTAATTTGCTTCAGTGCTTAGTTACTGTGGCTTTTGTGACCTGGTATTTCTAATGTATAATGTATAGTTACTGCTTTTCATTTGATTGCCAGTACCAGGATCATGATGAAGCTTGCCTTGCTGGAGTGGCTCAAATGTCTATTCGAGTAGGAGATATCCGTCGAGGGGTAAACCAGGCCATTAAACATCCCAGTAGGTTGCTAAAGAGAGACTGTGGAGCTATTCTGGAGAATATGAAGGTATTCAAAAGAGTTAATAAAGCTAAACCTGAATAAGTGAAATCATTAAGCTATTTGTTGCTTATTTTTTTTTTATTTTAATTTAGAAATGATGTTTTAATGATTTCCAATATTGTAGCAATTTTCAGAAGCTGCTCAGCTCTATGAAAAGGGACAGTATTATGACAAGGCAGCATCAGTGTACATCCGATGTAAAAACTGGTAAGTGCTGTTTTCAGGGAAGTGGTGTATTTCAAAGAACTTGCTATGGTACTTTTTGGAAAGGAAGGATTCTCTGAATAGCACAACTGTCTCATTGAGTATGTTTCATTGATTTTATTGTTCCTTCACCCAAGCTGAAACAAGAGCAGTGTTCTCTCAGAAGCTTCTGTTGTTTTAAATAGAGTCTTATTGTAAATGGGAGATAGTCTTCCTTTTTTCTTTTTTCTGTTATGTTTAGTTACCTGCAATTTCAAATACTTAATGTGCGTGTGCACATGCAGACACGTGCACTGAATTCAGTAATTCTATTTGTGTAGTTACTATTTAGTTCATTAAATTCCTTCAGTTATAAAATACATTAAGTACACAATCATGAAAGTATTCACAGCTGCACCTGTACTGTTGGCATTCTGTTCTCTTCACATTCTTTCAGATTACAGTTTTAATACAGTGCTGCTTGTTCTACTCTAGATTAAGTAGAGAATATTGGATGTAAAAATGGTTGGTCTGGCACTTATACATCTCAAACTTAATGAGAAGATACTGTCCTTCGTTAAGCCTGTACCTTCATAAAGCAGTCTGTAATTTCCAGTTCTTTTATCTATAAAGTGCAGCTTTTTGAGACTATTAAAGTGCCTTCAAAGCTTATACATTACATGCACTTAGTTCTTTTTTAGCCTTCTTTTAGTGTTGGTATAAATATGCCTGTTTTACTGGAGAAAATTTGAAACCAGATATATTTATTAAATAACAATTGTCTTTCTAGGGCAAAGGTTGGTGAACTTCTTCCTCATGTTTCATCTCCAAAGATTCACCTACAATATGCAAAGGCCAAGGAAGCAGATGGCAGGTGAGTTTTAATCCTTATGTTTTTTATAAAAGTTATTGTTTGCTGTCGTTATCGATGTTATTAGATATTACCCTTTTAAAAAACAAACTTAAAGACAGGCTTTAAATTTTGCAGAAAACAGCCTTGTGAAAATGCATTCTGAAATACGTAAACTTAAGGTGTCATGTAAGGATTTTAAATGTAATCTAAGGACCTTCCATTAGTATCAAAGATGTGTTTCTAATTTACTGTTTTCCTGTCTAAGTATTAATATTTTTTACCAAAATCATTAAAATACACTGTGTATTGAATTCCACTTAGCAAAATATTGAAGAGTTTGCTTTGTTTCTAATGACTCCTCACCTGTGATTTTTATATGACATTCAAAGGGAATAGTCGTGAAAGAATTTTTTTCATTCTAGAACCAAATTACTTAATGGCTGCACTTGCAAAATATTGAATAATGTGAAATTATTGGCTGAAATGAAAGCCCAAAATAGGTTATATGTAATCACACAATGTAGGTTCTACTTGTCTTTACCCATCAGTAAATGTGCTTCAGAATAATGATACTTTATAAACAGGACCAAAGCTAAATGTCTGCATTGATGAGACTAGAAAATATTATTTGTGTCAGTTGTGTAGTGTGAGAATGAGAAATCTCTTGATCTTGTTTACAGAACAGAAATCTCGTTTTTTACATTGTACAACTAGCTATCGTCTGTTTTTTTATTATTTTCTCACTCTGAAGTGATTTCATACAGAACTAATGGAACAGATGAACTGCTTTTAAGATATACCAAAAGAGATGCTAGCAAAGTAGGTCAAAAATAGTATCGTGGTAGAGATTTCTCTGCCTTTCATTCTTCCAAGAAAAAATGAAATAGAGCAAAAAAAAAAGCATAGTAATTGCAGAACAAGGTTATTACATGCAAACTGAAAGGAAGGTGTCACAGAATAACCTCTTAGCAACAAAATACTTTCTTTCACACCTTATTGTAAGGAGTTATTTAAAAGTTAGAAAAACTGATGTGGAACCATCATTTTACAGGTACAACGAAGCTGTGATAGCTTATGAGCATGCGAAACAATGGGATAGTGTAATTCGACTATATTTGGATCACCTCAATAATCCTGAGAAGGCTGTTAATATTGTGAGAGAAACACAGTCTCTTGATGGAGCAAAGATGGTGGCCAGGTAACAGTCATACACTGCAGGCTAAAAAAATGGTGGAAGGGACCATACCTATTGGAAGCTGCTGAGGCTTGCTGACATACCAGACTCTAGTTATTGGTACTTGGCCAATGACTATATTTCAGTTTATTGATTTGAGTTCTGTAAAATTTGGACAGCTGAGCAGGTGCTGATTTTTTTTTTTTTTTCCTTCTTTTTAACTTTCTGATTAAAATTGTATTAACCTGAAGTTTAAACAATAATGAAAGTTGTCATACTGTATTATTTATGCTGTTAATTTTAGTAATATATTTTTTAGTAAAAAATATATAAAAGATATAAATGTATCATATTGGTGTGCCACAAAACATGCTATATTTCTAAAACATTTAATGTAGTCATTATGCTCATTAGTATTAAGGCATTAATTTGTTCATTCTTCTTAGATTCTTCCTCCAGCTTGGTGACTATGGTTCTGCCATCCAGTTCCTAGTCATGTCCAAGTGCAATAATGAAGCTTTCACATTAGCTCAACAGCACAATAAGATGGAGATTTATGCTGATATCATCAGTGAGTATTTCAAGTTAATAGTTTGCTGTTCTTTTAATTGGTTTAAACTGATTTCAAGTCATAAGACAAGGGGTGTGACGTTTTGTTTCCCAGACTTTCCATTTCCAGTCACCATGGACATTTTTGGCAAATCTGTGTCTGATTCAGGCCTACAAGCTAGGCTTTGCTTTCAGCTGAGGTATCTCCCTTGGTCTTCAGTCTAGGTTGTTTTCAGATTTTGTCTGTGCTGAAGATTTTTCTGTTTGTCCATAGAGATAAAGTATTTGTCTAGACTGTGCTGCTTGTGTTCATTGAGGGATCCCTTTCTTTGACCTTGATACATTTAGTACCGCTTTTCCAAAACTAACACTTTTACTGGGACAGTTCTTGATTTTTATCCTTTTTCCATACTTCCAGCTCTTTCCTTAAATATGTATAGCACTTGCATTTTTTTTCTTTTTTGTTTTTTTTTTCTTTAAGGCCCTTTGTAACACCCTCTTGTCTCAGTGGGAGATAAAAAGGAGACCTGACTGAGAAGCTGACTTACATGTCAGGCCATGTCCTGGGTTCAGCTGTAACAGTTATTTTTCTCCTTGTTAGTAGCTAGTGCAGTTCTGTTTTTGACTTTAGTCTGAGTCAGTGGCCAGCTTCTCAATTTGCAATAAATGTAGTAATTTTTCACCTGTGTCAGGCACCATTCCTTGCAAAGAGTTCCACATGCATATCTACCAAATTCTCTCATATTTTCAAGTAATCTCTTCCTTTAAAAAACATACTTGTTACAAAGGTTTTAAAAACTTGGCAGCAGCTAGCTTAGTGATGCATTGTGGCAGCTGCTTGTCAAGGTAGCCACTATTGTTCTGCTGCTCCTTATGCTCTTTTCCTTTTCTCCTATCCAAAATACAGTGTCTCTAATTGTAATCTAAGTGGATGGAAAAATAGCTGAAAACTTACTTTGGACTGGTGGCTGTCTTTGGTTTAGATTCACACAGTAAAATCAAGCTTTGGTTAGAAGATGTTGTGTTCCCTGCTACCACATGGTCGCACTGATCCTCATAGGCTTGCTTTGTGCAGTACATACTTGCATATTCTTAAACTCTGAGAAATAATTAGATGATAATCTCATAATCACTTGCGCTGTTTTATTTTTGCCAAGACATGATGGAAAAATTCGTTAGTAGGCCACAGTAATGTAATTTTACTGTGTCTGTTAAAAACCAGAAAACCTATGGAAACAAGTATTTCACTCCACTATTAGCTCCTAATGTCTGACATTTAATCTGATTAAATAGGGAAAAAATGTAGACATAATTTGAGTCTAGCTGGCTTTGGTTTTCTTTGAATATCAGTAGGAAAACAAAATTTAGACTAGGATCTTGCTTCTTCTATAGGGCTTTTATCTTACTGAGAACACTGCTGTCATTGCTGTCTATCTGTTGCAGGTTCTGAAAGCGCTACCAATGAAGATTATCAGAGCATTGCACTCTATTTTGAAGAAGAAAAGAAACATTTTCAGGCGGGAAAGTTTTTCTTGCTGTGTGGTCAATATGGAAGGGTCAGTACTTAAAGGGTAAACCAGTGATAGTTAAATGTTCATAGAAACTCTTCAAAATACAGTGCTTCAAAATCAGGGAAGTTCATAGTAGACTTCAGCTGGCTTAACTGATGAAAAACTGGTATTTAAAAGTGTAAAAAACATAATTAAACTACTTATGTTTACAGCTATCTACATTTATGTGCTGTGAATTACACACTGCATACGGGTCACTTTTTAACTGCAGCAGAGGCTCCATGTGGATCAGTGATATACTCTTCTCAATGAATCTCTAAATGTCATGAACACAGAAGAAGAACTTATTTGTATCGTGCTAGCTTGATCAGTGATGATGACTTGGTGTCTGGCTTATTGATTTAATACTGTAGCATGCCCTAACTTAAAGCTTTTTTAATTTTTCAAGACAGAAAATACGTTAGCTGAAGTATGTCAGTTGACACGCTCCTTTTTGGTCAGTTATACATTGGTGAGCTGATGCTTATTATAATTTTGACTTCTGTATACTGAACACATACCAAAAAAATATTACTGATTTTTGCAAATTGCAGCCATTGTAGTTGACCACTCCTTCAGCTGGGAGGTAGGGGAGGATCCAGTAGCAGATTAGTCATTCATTTTTCTCACCCTATTGCTGCAAACATCTTTCACAGTTAGATGAAGGTATACACCAGAATTTGGCAAAGACTCAACTATTATTTCTTGCAGGAGTATCTGGAAGAGCAGCTCCTACCTCTATAATGTATACGGTTATCTATATGGCTGTAAAATACCGTTAAGACAAGCATTCAGCATGCAATTTGAATGTCAAAATGCAGAGAGAAATAACTTGATAAAAAAATAGGAAAATGTTGATTTCATGTGTTTGAGTATTAACTTTTCTTCTGTATTGTTTTAGGCATTAAAACACTTTATGAAAAGTCCAGGCACAGAAGATAACTTGGCTATAGAAATGGCAATTGAAACAGTAAGTAATTTGGATAAACAAAAGTTTCTTTATTTTCTCAGGAAGTTTACCTTCAGTATTGTGACAGTTCCCAGGCATCTAAAATTCCCTGACATAGCATGTTAGAAAATAAATGTGAACTACTGCCTGTCAAAGGTGATGAACCGAGTAATCATCTGATTTGAACGCACAGAACTAAAAAAAAATAACAATGTTTTTATGGAAACCTCCATATTTTTCCTTTCTCTTTCATATCATAATTTCTTCTATCTTTATTTAATAGGTGGGACGGGCAAAAGATGAAGCCCTAACAAATCAGCTGATAGACTATCTTATGGGAGAGAGTGATGGCATGCCCAAGGTATTGTATTTTTATCACTGCTATTTTACTGCTTCTTTCAGCAGAGCTTGAATGTGAGCTAAGTGGCGCTGCACCCATGGTTTTCTGCTGTGAAAGCCAGACCTTGGGTGCAGACATTGCAGCCTACAATTCTTTAGTCAACGAATCTAAGGTCTCATACAGACTCATAGTAAATGCAGTCCGGTACAAAATGTTATGTATGGAAGAGGAAGTTCTGCCTTACTGAGGTGAGTGAGATTTGGTAATGATGAAGATGATACGGTCTTGGTGCAGTAAGTTTATTTCACCCCTAGTATAACTGTTGGCTATGATTCTCTTGGGAGATTAGAAATTCAGGCTCTTTCCTCTTCACATGGTGCCTAGACATTGAGGGTTTGATATTTTAGACTTTTACAGACATTTGGACAGCTGATGGCCAAGCCGGCTTTGCTTTTATAAAATTAAAAAACCTGAAACAACTCTATTACTTACCTCTTATTATTTAACTGTTATTTGAAATGCAAACATTAATAAAATTATAAGGGAAGCAAAAGGTAGTGGAACAAATAAAATTCAAGTGCAAGAGACCAGTAGAGAATGCAGCTGTTGGAGGCACTGAATGAAAAATCTGTGTAAGCTAAAGCAATTTCTCACTTATGCTGAAAGTTGGGTGGACCAAAACTGTAGCATCCGATCTCATTTCTAAGAGCAGCAGCCTCACCATTTAGTTGAAAGAAGTGCATAAGACTGGATATGGAAAGTGAGCTACAGGTTGATGCCCATAGTGAAGAGGCTCTAAAGATTTTAGAAAACGGGAATTTTGTGAATGCTGTAATTGCCATATTTAACATTGTTTTGAACTTCAATGTAGAGCTTTCCTTTCCTTGTTTAAAAGCTCTCTCTTGTTCTTCTGAATGCTTTAACCCAATCTGCCATAGTCTCTCTCAGTGAGTAACAAAATTTTACTTTATCAAATCATACATAGTTGTTTTAAAAATCTATTTAAGAAACAATCTATATCCTTGTTACGCTATGGAGGATGGTTTTGAAAATACCAAGTAAATGGGGTTAGTTGTAGAGAATAGCAGCTTTTATGTGGTGGTATTTTTGTAAAGCTGAAAATAAGACTAAACTTAAAATAGCCACGCAGCAGAAACTTGCTAGTCCTTTCAAGCACTGATCTTCAAACCAGACCATTGCTCACAGCGCCCTGGTTGCTTTAAATCTGATAAGGTGGCATTTAATGAAGTATCACATAATCAAAAATTATTATGCTTATCAAGATTTTGTTGTCTAATTACAAACTCTTTCTTAAATATGTTATTATGTCAACTATTAAATTTAACATGTAAAGAATATTAATTTGCCACATGTGGTCTTAACGTAATTTGTCAGGGAGTGTTAACTGGCAAGGTTCTGCTGTTTTCTGTGTGTGTATTTTCTAAGTACAGGTGTTTTAAAAAGCAAAACTAAATTAAATCATGGCTGTCTAATACTAATATCAGACTGCAATAATAACTTGATACAAAGACCATAGGAAATGTGTTGTCAGTTGAAAATTCTTTCCTGTAACTTTTGCTTTTAAAATAACTGACTTTAAATGTTAGAACATGAAAGTAAAACATGAGGCTAAATTTTCTTAAATGCCTCCTACTTTTATATTTTTTCCACATATGGCTGCCATGTAAGTCATTTAAATATATTACCTAAGTCAAATATCATTAGAGACATGGTAAATACCATATAAGACTACTGGTCCATGCTGGCACAACATCCTTTTCCTACTGCAGCAGGAGAAAAGGGGAGAAGTGGTCATCAGTAGAACGGCTAGCTGTGGGCATTAGCAGGTGTCAGAAGTTATGAAGAATTACATCCTAACCTACCATTCATAATAATTTTTGTTTTACCCCACTCAAGAAATAGCAGTTTTCCTTTTTAAGGCAGTTTTCAGTGGGTAGATAATATCCACTAGTAAGTAGTTGTGGTTACTTTATTATCCAGATAACTTTTACTGTTGTTCAGTTATGGTTCTCAGGACGTTTGACTTTTTGATCATAGAATCATATAATAGTTAGGATTGGAAAGGACCTGAAGATTGTCAAGTTGTAACCCCCCTGCCCTTGGCAGGGATACCTCACACTAAGCCATGCCACCAAAGGCTCTGTCCAGCCCGGCCTTGAACACCACCAGGGATGGAGCATTCACAATTTCCTTGGGCAACCCATTCCAGTGCCTCACCACACTTACAGTAAAGAACTTCTTCCTAATATCCAATCTAAACTTCCCCTTTTAAGTTTTAACCCGTTACCCCTTGTCCTATCACTACAGCCCCTAATGAAGAGTCCCTCCCCAGCAATCTTATAGGCCCACTTCAGATACTGGAAGGCTGCTATGAAGTCTCCACGCAGCCTTCTCTTCTCCAGGCTGAACAGCCCCAACTTCCTCAGCCTGTCTTCATATGGGAGGTGCTCCAGTCCCCTGATCATCCTCATGGCCCTCCTCTGGACTTGTTCCAACAGTTCCATGTCCTTTTTATGTTGAGGACACCAGAACTGCACACAATACTCCAAGTGAGCTCTCACAAGAGCAGAGGGGCAGGATCACCTCCTTCGGCCTGCTGGTCACGCTCCTTTTGATGCAGCCCAGGATACAGTTGGCTTTCTGGCTTGCGAGCACACACTGAAGCCAACTCATGTTAAGTTTCTCATTGACTAACACCCCCAAGTCCATCTCCACAGGGCTGCTCTGAATCTCTTCTCTGCACAACCTGTAGCTGTGTCTGGGGTTGCTCTGACCCAGGTGTAGGACCTTGCACTTGGCTTGGTTGATCATGCGTTGCTTAAAATTCTGCTCCATCATCAGTTTAAGAGTGATTTTTTTTTTTTTTTGTCACTTAATATTTTCCTTTATATTGTGAGTTAAAAAGAACAATATGATTGGCCTTTTTTCTTTCTGTATGCTAGTCTTTCTCTCTTGCTTTTATTTCTGTGGCTTTTTCATCCTTTTTTCCCTTGGCTCTCAAGTAGAGTCTTAATCTTTGCAGTTGTTGTCTTTATAGGGAAATGTCTTTATAGCTTTCATATTTCTGTTCTTCTATATTTCTGCTTTTGCTGCATGTTTGAGACTTGCATACAAAATCCACAAAGTATTCCAGAAAACAGGACAATATCATTTAATACAAATCTTTAAAGATATTTTTCTACTGTTTTAACATAGAATGCACATGGTAAATGATTGCGTTTGCGACTATATTGCAGAATTAGTTGGTTTTGGTTTTTGCTAAGCTGTCTATAAAGCTACCCGTGCCTTTTTTGTTTTTTTTTTTTGTTTCCTGATTTATATTTTTAAGTTAGAACCATACTATTATATACAGTATTTCAGCTTAATTTCACCTGGATTTACTAATTCAATTATTATCACATACAGACTTTACTTTTTTTATTGATCCCATTTTAGACATCACTGCTAAAGATATACAATAGTGACACTAGTGACACTAGCCCAGTTTTGGGTTTGGTTGTTTTTCTTTTTTTAATAGTTCCTCTTCCTTGTAAGCAGGGTGATTTAATTCTGTATTTTTGCTGTATCTCTAGAAATTATCTAAAATCAGCCAGTTGTTCCCTTAATTTTCAGATTTTTAGCTGCTTTGGATGTTTTAACCATCTGGTCTCAGAACAATATACTTTTTATACTTATTCACACTACGCAGTGTTTGCACCTAGATCTGGAACACAATTTAAACTTTTCTAGCAAAATTTTGAGTTCTGAAAACAGTCCTTTGGTTCTTTTCTGACACCATGAATGCCTACATGTCTGAAGTTGTTGGGATTCTGCCTGTGCAACTCTCTACATGCTAATGGTCTGCAGCTTTTTGTATCCATATTGGCAGTTTGGCAACTAACTGCCACAGCTCGCTCAGGGTCCCCAGCATGAGTGTTTGACTGTACCAAGAGTCAAGACTTGCAGGTGAAGGCAGCATAGCTAAAGCATGTCCATACAAAGAGCTCTTCACAAAACAAGGCAGCTCTTGTCTTTCTGCTTTCTTAAAGAATGTGGTGGTGGGGTAAGTAAAGAAAGGGAACAAGAAGTATGTATTCAATCAGTATTAATTGCTTTTGTATGATTTAATTAAGGATGCCAAGTACCTATTCCATTTATACATGGCACTGAAGCAATACAAGGAAGCTGCCAGAACTGCTATAATAATTGCCAGGGAGGAGCAGTGTTCAGGTAAGTCCGTTTCCTCTGATGTGGCAGCATCTCTGACACTACACCTTGCAGGACTTGAGGTACTGCTATTTAAATAGGATTATACTTAGAAAAGATGTTTTAATTATATTCAAGCTTAATTTGAAGTAGTCTTTGTGAAAAGTTTGGGAGTCGTACCTGTATGTTAAATATTAGAAGAAAAAAAAATTGTTGAAAATACCTGCATTCCTTATTACATTCAAGTAAATGTAGTCATTAAGATTGCTTGCAATTTCACTTTTCTATATATCACAGGTCTTATAACTGCAGTTTCTACATGCAATTTCCAACTCGGATACTGATCCTTTAGTCTCTGCATGTGATTTTTTTTCTAGTGGGAGAGGTGCACAGGAGATGGTTTCTGTTGAAGGATCAGATACCTGCTTACTTAAGCCTTGCTTTCCCCTGTAATAGGTAGCTGAAGTTAGAAATAGAAAAAAGTAATAAGAGAAGACAGGGCTAGAAGCAAAATAGCTATTGCCTCCATTAGTTGTGCTCCTCTGCAGCCATGGCAACAGCTCTGCCATAACACTGCTTGCTTTTCATTCCAAGTAACTTATGAAAAATAACTGTAAAGGGAAGATAGCAGCCTCGGGAGCAGCCAGGCAAATTAACTTCTATGGAATGCTTCTCAGCAGTGGGCTAGGGAATGGAGAATCTCTTAACCCTTTGGCAGGCATGGTCTTCCAATTCCTCATAGCAGTGAATAATGCATTTGTGCTGATTATGTAAGCAGGAAATGTAAATGCTCAAGGGTTTAAATATTTACCAGCTTCTCTGAATCTGAAAAATTTTATCTAAAATGGAGTATCCCACACTGTATTTCATCTTCCCTAAGCATAGACGTGTTCTGCAACCCAGAATTAATAAGCACAATATTTTTTTCATTGAAATCACCAGTCTTGCAGTGGCTGTTTCAGAGTTTTAATTGTTGCTCTCTTCCTTCAGGAGATGTCAATGAGTTTGATTCTGAAGTTTACACCAATATAGTTTGTTCTTTCCTTAAAAGTCCACTTTAAAAATAATATTTAACTCATACTGTTTGGTATTTTCCTTTGAGTATGACACTTTATGTGCAGTTTAAGTTGGATTTATGTAATCACACAATTTTAAGACCTCAAATTATACTGAGAGTCTGGAACAGAGCATGCAAAATTAATGTTGTTTTCCAGCAACTAATTCTGGACTGATAGTCAGCTGCTACACACAGATTCCATGCAGGTTGATTCAGTTGTTGTATATAATGACACATAACCAACTACTCTGTAGAATAAAACCGTTTGCCAGTAGAGGAAAAATGTTTGCTGAAATAACTGCATCTGAAATTTCCTTTGAATGCCTCCAGCTGCAGGGAGTATGACTCCTTATAGGCTAATAATGAAAACAAAAACCCCAAACAAAAATAAGCCAAAACAAAGCAAGAACAAGCAAGGAGCCAGGAGTAGCCTAACCATACTAAACACAGATTGTTTTCAGCAACACTGATAATTTAGTAAGATGGTGTGTGGTTTCTGGACAATCCTTGATAGTATCCTTGAAGCAGTTTAATCTTGTGAATTCATATTCACCATGGCAGAGAAGGTGGAGCTAGATCGTCTTAACATCCTTTCCAACCCAAACCATTCTATGATTCTATGCTATGAATATTCACATTTTAGTTCTCTCTCTGACAGATTTTAGGTTGGTTTGGTTGCAGAGGCAAACAGTTGCCAAAGCCAATAAAGTAATATTTAAACAACAGCTTTTCAATAGCTGACACTGAAGAACAAAAAGGTGTAACAGCTCTAAATGCTCAAAAAATATCTTTTCTCCTCTTTATAGTGGAAACAATGCATTTTTCTATTTTTAAAGTTTCATTATATGAAATGGTCATCCACATGTGTATTTTCCTACTGTTTAGCTGAATTCTCTAAGCATAATTGTTTTTCTTATTTAACTCCCTGGCTGATACCGTTCAGGATACTGTGACAAGCAACTGCTTTCCAAAGAAATTGTTATGCAAAGATTTTGCACAAAGAATCAACTTAACTTCCTGTTCAGCTTCCATGTGTGTCATTGGTAAAGAAATTGTTATGAAAAATTGGATTTCCTGTTCATTGTTGGTTTTTTGTAAGGAAACTACCGAAATGCACACGATGTTCTTTTCAGCATGTATTCAGAGTTAAAGACCCAGAAGATAAAAATCCCTTCCGAGATGGCTACAAACCTTATGATTCTACACAGCTATATGTTAGCAAAGGTAAAGAATTGAGAAACTGAATTTATGTGTAAGTTAAGTTAAATAGTTTCTGATTTGTTGAGCTGTACCTCCAGATGCTCTGTATATGTAAATCACATTGTCATATCACAATGTCGCATATCACAAAATCCAAGTGAAGGTTAACAGCAAGCTTCAGGACAATCCATGGTTAGGTTTGCCTCTTTGGCATATTCTTTTCTTAAATACTGAATAATTAAAAAACTACATATGACTTCCTGTATTTCTTTTGCATTTGTACTTACAAATGTCATGCTAGTAGTGCAATATTATTATCGTTATTTATTATTATCCATAAGCAGATCATTGCTCTTCTGTAAATGAAATTGAACAGGGGGTGCTCAGAGTATTGCTGGTAGCTAACCTGAATATCTGTTCTGGTAGCCCACCAAAATATCTGTTCGGCTGGCAGCCAGCTCCTGGCCTCCCTCTCTGCCAGCAGTGAGGCAAGAGCAGGCACATGGCAGGCTGAAGGCCAGAAAGATTGTTCTAGGAAAGAGTGTCTTTCCTCTCTGCTGAGTGTCTGGTCCTTTCTGCAGTGCATGGTACACCTCTGCTCAGTTTCTTGAAAGAGCTGTGGGCTTGCAGCTCCCAGAAAGATGAATGGCAGGAGTGGGCTGTGGGAATGACTTGGTAACAGCCACAGTTAATTTGCTGTTTATTGTATTCCAGACTCACATCAAACATGGTGATCACATGAAGGGAGCACGTATGCTTATACGTGTAGCCAACAACATCAGCAAGTTCCCATCACGTAAGTGCCATCAGTGTAGCTGGGCATGCTGCGTACTCTCCAGGAGAATTCATTAACTATGGCATTGGAAGAGGCATTCTCCTCTTGTGATCCTGTAAGGCACACAACAGCACAAATGCACAGTGTGCTCTGCCATCCTCCCCAGGACAGCTCTTTGGCAGAGGGCCCCCAAGATGGTTGCCTCATGAACAGTTTCATCTGTCCTTGCCCACCATAACTGTGGTCCTTAGCTGCCTAACCCAAACACACACACAGGGTGTCAGGATCGTATGTAACCAACTGATTGGTTTTGGGACATCATCACAAAATTTGTATCGGTGTTCTTTTGAAAATACTTTTTGGGTACATGGAAATAGTAGGCTAAAATGTAGACTTTAAATGGTGCAGACAGATCTGGGAGAAATGGTTATCATCAAAACATGCCTGCTGCCCTGCTGAGCTTCAGGAATGCAAAGAGAGGTGAAGCCACAATTTTCTTGTATATAGTTACAGGAATTGCACAAATTGTGCAACTGTATACCATGAGGAAGAAAAATACTGTCAGTTTTCATTAGCACCTTTTTCGCTGCATTAGCTCAAAGGCTGTCAGTGTTAATATTGGTAAATAAATATTTGATATAATTGTTTCTGTTACAGATGTAGTGCAAATTTTGACTTCAGTTGTAATCGAGTGTCACAGAGCAGGACTGAAGAACTCAGCCTTCAGTTTTGCTGCTATGTTGATGAGACCTGAGTATCGCAATAAAATAGACCTTAAATACAAAAAGAAAATTGAAGCAGTGGTCAGGTGAGCATTGTTCAGCTGTACTTTCAAACATACATACACAATATCAAGGCTTTATCAGCTTTGGCTGCTGCAGCATCAGCAGTATGTGCTCTTCTGTTAGACTGCCGAGTAAAATAAAAATGAATGGAAAGGCAAATAAAATAGATGAATTCTTGACATTTTCTTCCTCCTCTGAAGTTCTGTTTTGATAGATCCTAGCCAGTATTTTCTGCCAGAGAAGGAAATGTAGGTGAGCATGTAGAAGTATGTGTAATATTTTCCTTATTTATTCTGCTAGCCTGTAACCTTTCTGAGGCTCAGGGACATGCTGAGCCCACATGGGTGTTTTAGGTATTTATTAATTCTCTAAGCTCTCCATGAGCTTATCTGGTCTCTGCTTGAAACCATGTACATTTTCAGCAACAGGTGACTCCCCTGACAAGAAGTTCCATTGTGTCAAGACTGGTCCCAGACTAGTTTAATGCAATGCCATGTACTTTTCCTCTTGGGAGAGGTCTAGCCTTCTCTGTGTCACTTGGGATTTTATAGACCTCTGTTTTCGCTTATTCCTCCTCTAGCATCAGTCATGTGTTTGCAGGACCTAAAGAGTCCCAGCTTGCACAGCTGTTCCTTTATGGATACTGATCCTTACAGCCCTTCTCTGAAACTCTTCTCCAAAAATGTAAGAGGCAGGACTAACAGTATACCTTGTATTTAAGATGTGGACAACCAGTGGATTTACATAGTAGCAGAATGACTAGGTTTGTCCTACTTGATTTGCTTTGTTTTGTAGCATGTATTGTAATGGAAGATCCTTTTCCTAAGCCACAGCAGTTCGGAGCCCCATCATCTTATATCTTTAATGAAAACTTTATTCCAACAGGTCTTGCTTTGGCTTCCCCCCACCCTTGTATATTCTTGTCACAAAGTTGTTCTGGCATCAGCCTGAATATTACCTACAAGCTGTGGTGTCATTATTTTCACTTGCATGTTATGAGTATACAGAACAGCAGTAGGTTACCACAGCTGTGTACTGTGAGAACCCTTTATCCTATTACATTTAATACTCTTGAACTACTTAATTAATGCAAAGTTCTTCCCTTGTACCTGCTTGTTAAGACTTCCAGAACATTCCATTAAGCTTCTAAAATAACATCAGTGCTAAAGCTGTGTTGACTCATTCTGAATCTATGAAACAGGTTTATTAGATTGCAAGGGAAACATGTATGTCCAGGCTTATAAAATGAGAAATTAGGCTTTCTACAAAGTATCAATGTAGGCAGCCACCTAATGCTCTCTGGGGTTACTAGGCTAAACATTAGGAAGTATCCTCTTCACTGGAAAATACGCTAAAAGTGAATCCAAGCTCTTTGTCTATAAAAGTTACATAAATGACTGAAAGTTAAGGTCACATATAAAATCCGAATAAAGGTCCAACTCCTTAACCCAGGTGCTGTCATGTCAGGACCATCACTCTGAGAGACACGGGTTGAACACAAGCCTGGAAAAGGCATTGTTACAACCTGTTTAGTCCTACCCAGATGCCTGTTTATTTCTTGTTACTTCAATTCTCTGTGGTCATTTCTGCCACAGAAAAACACTTAGAGAAACTGTAGCTTTATACATGAGTTTCAAAAACTTTCAAAGTATTGTGACCCATTACAGCTTTAAAAAAGTTGTATAGTTTCAGATTAGATGGAAAGTTACATTTTTTGAATTTACATAACTGCAATGAAGCTTGGGTGACAGTTAAAAGGAATTACCTGGTAGAATACAACATAGCAACTGCCAGCTCCGCAACTAACTCAAAGGGAAAACACTTGCTAAATCTTAAAGGCATTGTAAAACATCTTTGGTCAAGTTCAAAGCACTTGACGTTTTTATCCACTTTTGTATGTTTCTTCTAGACATCCAAGCACAACAGCGATAGAAGAGCCAACAACAGCCTGTCCCTACTGTGCATTCCAGCTCCCAGAGTGTGAACTTCTGTGTCCCAGCTGCAAGAACAATCTCCCATACTGTATTGCAACTGTGAGTACCTGCTGCATCCCCGCAGTGCGAGCAGGAATGCAGACCTGCTCTCTCCTTCTAAAAATAAGGTCATCTGAACAAAGCTTGCTGGTAAATTCAAGCTAGATAATGGTTTTGTGATTAAACAGAATTGCGCCGCTGGTGCCTGCCCAGCTCAGCCCTCTGCTCACGTGTTCCAGTGCTCAGAGCAGTAACAGCAAGGACAGAATCTCCCCTTTCTTCTTCCATGTGCAGGATGCTTGCAGAGGGCTCACAGCTCTCCTCCCCTGAACTCAAGGCTGCCAAGACTTCAGATAAATAAAACACACCCATAACTAAACACACCCATAACTAAACCACTGCAAAACCTGTTTGGGGGAATACCCAGAGTGGAGCAGAATTTTTGGCACTTCCAAGATTAAGAAGTCGTTCAGCTACTGACCTACTACTGGTCCGTACAGAAATGAGGTATTTTTGTTTCAGGATACTTTAAAGCATACTGGAAAGGTATGGGTGGGGTACCTTTCCCCGTGGAAGAGCCATGCATCCTACTGGTACCAGCATGAGTATAAAATCTCTAGGCTGAGGTTAGCTACTATATAGTTAACACTATTTCCATTGGGTTCAAGTGTCATGCTAGAATCACAAGAAAAAAAACTGAGAATTTACTTGAGCAGGAATCCAGTGTTTGAGTTAACATTCTTTATTAAAACAAAGGAATTAAATCTTACAAAAAGAAAGAGTAGGAGCAATTATCTATTTTTAGTTACTCTTGTCTTAACAGAGTAAGATAACCAGTGTATTTTAGAAGTATTTATTTCTTCACAAAATAAAACAAGGCTTTTGAACACAGCTTTATGAGCCAAATGATGTACATATTCATCTGTATTTCACACAATTTATTTAGGCTCCAGCTTGGTTATAGCTCATTAACATCACAGGTATTGGTAGCATCATTAGGAACGCAGCATTTTCAAAAACCTTATAAGAGTCAGCATCAACAGTCTACATTGCGTATTGTACTAGAGCATAAATCTCTATGCATAGTTCAAAGTGCTGTTGTGTGTTTTTAGTATTGAAAAGGTACATACGAATTCTTGCTATCAAAAGCAAATTAATAAACCCTACCCTAAATGAGGAATCATGCCTGTTTAAAGAGGCAATTACCAGGCACTCACTATGCTCACATTTGTGACAGGACTAAAAATGACCTCCTGGGCTCAGGTGACACGGCTTCAGGGCTTTCATCATGTGTAACACCAGCAATCCCAGTACTTTCTGTGCAGCTCCAGACATATGTACAGGTGACATTCTAGAATTGCTAAACAAATCATTTTAAAAGTTGTGATTCACTACACTCTTAAGATTATTTTTTTTTGAGAGGAATGCAGATTACAATGCGAACACTGTCTCACCAAGAGCTGCTTTCTCATGACAGACTTTACACAGGAATCCAACACCAGTAACATCATTTGGGGTTTAAGTTCCTCAAGATATTTAGAACTCAGTTGCTGAGACTTTTCCACAGTAACAGGTACAAAACTAAATGCCCACGTAGTAGGCCAGCCAGTGCCTTTTAATTACTTGAGGCTTTTGCCTGCAGGGTCGCCACATGGTCCAAGATGACTGGACAGTCTGCCCGCACTGTGACTTCCCTGCCCTCTATTCAGAATTCAAAAAGTAAGTTGAGATCTTTTTTCTACTGCAGGATTTCAATGCTTGATCCTATTTTAGCAGCAAATTGCTTCATTTGATACTAAAACCAGGTAACAGCTGGGTTGGGGTGGAAGAGGAATCCCTTTACGTGGTAGTTTCACCTAACATAAAGAACATCGCTTCAAAGTGGACCAGAAACTGCAATAAAGAACTCTACCAGAATGCAGGGCTGCAGCACCATGACCAGAGATGGCCAGACTTGTGCAAGTTCTCAGCTCCTTCCAGGAAGACAACCTGATGTGGGGCAGGGGAAACATGGGCACAGCAGCAGTCACCAAAACCAAATACACACAATACTAGGGCAGACTAAGGCAGCAACAGCCTCTCATCCCTGATAATCATCCATGTGGGAATGGGACAGGATAGCTCTTCTTCAGATGTCAGAACTGTGAAGCTGCAGAAACTTCATGTTCTAGTCCAGGCTTCTCTGTATATGTTGTAAATGCTATTGCTCTGGCCTGTATTTGTTACACAGCACAGGTCAGAACTTTGCTGTGCTTTCTGCTTCAGGCCTGGCTCTTCCTTAGGAAAACGTTAGAATTCCCATCTGATTCATCACCCTTTCTTTTTGAAACAGCATGTTAGAGACTGAAAACACATGTCCAATGTGTTCTGAAAGGATTGACATTGCTCATCTTAAGAAAATAAATGATTGCACACAGTATCTCACACCAGAAAATGGGGACCAATAATGCAGGTATGTTCTAGAGCCTGTACTTTTATACTTAATGGGGCCCATTCTAGGGGGGATTATAGAGTGTTTCCCAGCAAGGGAAGTGCAATATTCAGGGATCTAACTTAAAGCCTGGGTCTGTGCCTCAGATACCGGAGACCCAGCTTTATAGCCTCCTTGCCCTCAGGCATGCAGACACCAGCAGGTTTTGCTGCTGCAGCTAACCTGGTTGTTAAATCATTTCGATAGTGAGGCTTTAAACCACTTTACCTCTTTGATATCATCTGTGGCATGTTTGTCCTGAACACTAGCTGGGCTTTAGCAGCAGCGAGAACAGGCTGGAGATCACAGCAGCATCAAAGGTTTCCGCAGAGCTACCAACAAGTGTTTAAGTGGAGGAAGAGAGAGATGCTAACTGGAAGGAGCAAATCTAAAATGCAGGTTACATGATCTTAGCTTCTGTGTTCAACAGAATCTAATCACAGGGTAACAGCAACATAGTATTGGCTGGACATACTTGTATTTCAAAGTGAAAAATGACACCACTGCTCTGTCTGTACCACACACTTTGATCCAAGACTGCACTTTTAGTTAAAGAAATGATAATTGAAAAGGAGTTAAAGAAATTCCTCATTAATTTTAACATTTGAAGGCAAACACAGTCTGTGAATACTTACCTACAGGTCAGAGTAATGCTACAGGTCAAAGTAATGCACAAATGATACTATGAAATAAACTTTTTACTCCTAGTCTCAGAAAGCGCATTTGCTGTCACAGGCTGACTGACCACCTCTGTTTTCTTTCAGAAAGGCATGTGTTGTCTGGTAAGCAACAAGGAAAGCTCCATCACTGCATCACACATCTCTTCCCTCTAGGATTTAGTAGCAACCACGTGTCACTTTATTTTACGATAGCCTGTATTTGGCTTTTGATAAATCTTGACTTTGTTATAGTAATAAAATTGATTGATAATTCTTCTTACCAAGCCAGATGTGTATTTTATCTGCACCAGAGACAAACCAAGGGGCATTCTGTGTTATAGGAGTGGCAAACCCCCCAAGGCATCTCTCTCTTCAACATCAGATCTGAATTTTTATGACTGTTTTCTATTAAACATTTCTTACTTTAAGTATTCTTTTCTGGTTTTGATTAAAGATGCAACTCATACAAGCACAAGCTCCTCATGTTTTGGAACTAAACCCCTCACTGCTTTTCTGTGCTTCTGACTGAACAAAGGGAAGTTGTAGGAAAAGAATAACACCACGTCCTGTACGTGAAGGAAAGCCAAAACCCTGAAGCAAAGAGAGGGCAAGACAACACTCCACGAACTTAACCAAAGCTTTAAAAGACTTCTGTGAAACATTTTATTGCCATTTTATACTCTGCTTAATTTCTGTAATGTACAAAGACACCACTTAGGTTTGGGGGGTGGTGTTGGGGTGGTGCATCATTTACAAGAGTTCTCCACATAACATCACGGGATTTGTTATAAAAAAGAAGAAACAGAACCAAACAAAGGTAGAGAAGTCCTATGAAGACTCAGCAGGTAACTAAGGGCCACACTTTTGTTCTGTTCATGCACCTCGGTGTCTGCTGCACAAGGCTAGTTAATAGCTTGTAATGTTGTAGCATGTTAAGAGTAAGTACCACACAGCGCAGTGCCAGAGTATGGTAGTTACATCACCCCTACAAGAGGAGCGTTTTCAACACACCAGTTATACCTTCCCAGCTCCAGCACTGGATACATGTCACGGTCCTGCCACAAGTCAGATCAACAAAACTGCATCCAGAGCAAGATTTTTTACTGTTTAATGTCTTGTTTTCTCTTTTCTTTTCCCCTCTTTTTTTGTCGTTTCTTCTTTTTTCTCTCTTTTTGGCAGCTTGGAAGAAGACTTCACCTTTTTTTGCTGTAAAACAGAATGTGCAGACAGTTTTAAATTCAACTGCAACCCGTCAAAAGCACAAGTCAAAATGCTGTCAGGGTTCTTCTCCCCTTTGAGGTATGAAGTTTAAATGCCATGGGGCATACAGGCTCTACAATATTGAGTCCTGAGGGCTGACCACAGCTCCCTGATTTGGCAATACATACAAAGGGCATTACTGGAACTGTCATCTGGGATAACCACATGCAGAGACCTGTGGCTGCTCCTTACCAATGGCACCATCCCCACCAACACATAAAATACTACTAAGTTTTGGAATTGGATGCAGCAATCACAACTTCTCAGTGACACCTCACTCTGAACCAATGCTCAGGCAGAAAGCAATGGATGGAAATAACTAGTGACAGTGTGAAAAAGTCAAAGTTAAAAGTTGAGCGATGATGCATTCAGCATCTACTGTAATGTCCCGGCCTGTCCCGTCCCCCGTCCCCCCCCTTCATTCAGATGATGTTCCAAGTCCTAGAAATGTAATTAAGAGAAAAAACCCACAGTTCAGTGGGGTCATTTTGCACTGTACAAACTAAGTCACCTTAATCATTGCATCACTGTCGACTGTATCTTGCTCATCCTCATCAGAATGGATCTCTTCCACATTAAAGTCTTCATTCATTTCTAAGGTGGACACAGATCCTGACTGCCTTCTAGATGTCTTGACAGAATTAAGTGAATATGGAGTCAGATGTGCCTCTCTGTTGTAACCACGTGTAAAAGCTGCTTTCACCTGTGAGGTTGGAAGGAAACACTATGAACATCAGCTTAGGAACTGCAGATTGTTGGCTAACCAACTCCTGGCTAGAGATTCCACATCATCTTTCCTTTGGGAAGGTGTGGCCAAAGAAACACACGTAAAAGAGGACGCTATCTCAAAAGGACGTAACATCTAAGAGCTGTATGGTGAAGGCTCATTTTGAGTCCCACATAATCCTTAGCTAGAGCATGCATCTTCAGATGATTCTTGCTTAGTCCTCCAATAATTTCAGCACTGTTGTTCTGCTGCCCCCAACCCAAGTCACACACACCAAAGCACTCTCAGCAGCACTGGACACCTGTCACGCTGGAGCAGCATATGCAGACAAGGTCCAAGCACCCAACAGTAGCACTGCTTTAGTTATCACAGGGAAAATCCTTCTCTTTCCATAAGCACTTGATCTGGGATGGGGAGACCATGGTTCAGCTCTCACACCTGCCTAGTCTGTAGTAGGGACCTCAGCTTAAGCTCACCTTATACGGCATGAGGGTCTCAGCTACTGGAGTGGACTAGGTGGATACTGGAGGGGCACCACACAATTCCCCCCTGGTTGGGCAGTTCAGTCTAACTGGACTGTGAGAGACGCAAGCTGCAAGCAGGCTCCTAATTCAGTGCCCACACCATAACAAATGTGGTGCCTCCATCCTCCTTTGCACACTGGTGAGTAAGGCAGCGCTGTGCTGTACGTGAATGGCTGATACAGCTTATAGCCAGGGGCTCCCTTGTAGAAAGGCAAAGCATTCCCTGTTCCTTGCATTCCACTTCCATGCCCCAGACACGGCTGACTCCCAGCACAACTTTACACCAGGAACAACAGGCATAAGATTCCCTAATGAAGCAGGCCTCACTATCTTTTAGGACCTACCCCTGAAACTTTAGTAATATGTTTGACAGCTGATTTACAAAGACTACTATTAATTAGGTTACAGTTACTAAGCAGCTGCACCTACTTCAGCCTTTCAGCAGCACATCTATACCGCAGCTATTATTCTATGATTTCTTTTTAAAGATACCAAAGAAAAAAAGTTACTAGTCAGTTTTACCTTGGGATCCAGCTTTGAGAAAGCACTGGGTTTGCCTCCCCACATGCTTATTTCCATGATATTGTCAACATCTTCTTTCACCAAGCAGTAAGAGTCCATGAAGTTTATAGCTTGCTGTACACCATCTGCTCCAAAGTCTTTCAAGGGCTGGACAAGCGCATCCCGCAAATACGACAAATACTCCATGTTTACTGTCCTCTTGCATGTCTGGGTTCTTTTGTCAAATTAAAAGTAGTAAGTGGATGTGTACACCGCCACTACTCAATTCTAAACACAAGCTAGCTGTAGGTAAGGCCCTCAGCAAATAGACGATCAGCTGCCTTGAGAGCTAACTGCAAGTGGTACTGTGCCACTCCTGCCATACCTGCACTAGGGATGACATGAGGTATTCAAACATCAGTCTGGGGAAACAATAGTTTCAGGGCAGAGGGAAGTCACAGTGCTGCTGACTTAACTAGAAACATTTGCAGTATGACTATTGACCAGATTAAACATTAACAAAGTGTCATCAGCAACGCAGGAGCATTTTCACAGATTGTACATTAAGTCTGTGCCAAGCACAGCAAGGAATTAATGGCAGGTAATGAACTAGACAAGAACTAAATGTGTAACATTTGATATAAACCAGAAGAAGGTCAGTAGTACCTGAGACTCATGTGCATTCCCAGTTCTTGAACGATACGATCATGTTTACCCGTGGATGAAAATTTCCCCAGCCAGCTGGGAAAGACAGGAAACTGGGACATGGAACCTCTCATCAGCTCCCCTGGGAGAACACTGGCATAAATAGCCTGAAAAAGTAACACAGATGCCCAGCTCAAACCACAGTGGATTAGTCTCACTGACACAATGACGTACAACCCCACTTGTCTGCATGAAAGGGAGTAGTACAGTTCCAGCTTGTTTTAAGAGAACTCTTTCTTGGTTGCTTGTTTCTCTTCAACCATTCTTAAGGTACAACTTCATCTCTTGTACCACCCCGTCTGTTACCATGTTCTAAAATATCTGTGAAATGATCTCTCTTTTAAAAGCCATTTAAAGAAAAAAAAGACCACCCTTGTATCTCACATCCAGTATGGAGTGCAGTCAAACAGCTGACCATGCAAATAACTGCTGTCATCTCCAACAGACAGGTGTGGCGAAGGAGATATTTCTGAAGAACACCACGAATCTACACAAACTCAGCCAGGCAGGTTCCTAAGCAACTTATCAGTCTGCAC